AAAAAAAACTTTGGAAGCAAATCGTAACTAAGAAAACGCATTGATGATTGAGTGAAATAGCCGAACTGTGAAACTTATGTTCCTTAAGTCTAGAGCCTAACTAGCGACTGGACGCTAGATCAGCACACCGTAAAGGAAAAGGCAAACGAGTTTTACTTATTTCTTTTGTTGCGTATGTTTTGCTTTTTGTCTTTTTGTTGTCTTACACATTTTACCAATAGACGAATTGTGTACAACCATTATATGAACCATTAGCACAAACACGTGCAATGAACTTGATAACTTTCAACTGTCGCGCATTTGTTGTCTGTTCAGCGCTCATTTATATTGTTTTATTATTTCCTATTGTACCACAGGTAAATACATAGGCTATGCGATCTTTAGATCGAATCAAAACATCGCTTTATTCTCTATTTTGCCACAGAAATTTATCTACTTTATTAACAACTCACCCTGTATTCGTGGAAATGTCTAAAATAAATGCATGCGTATCCATGTAATTTCCTAAAATATCTTTGGAAAAGTTTGTCTTGCGGAGAGTCCATGGTCCATGATCGATTAGCTATGAAATACTGGTTTGTCTTTAGCGTGCGTGTTTTTGTGAGTGTGTCAGCATCTCTGTTCACATCAGCAAAACATAGTGTTCACCTTTTGATTAATGATTTGGTTATTTTGTGATTCTAAACGTGGGAAATTAACTGGGTAATAAAGCCTAAGACATTTCTCTTGTAGCTGACCACGCATTTCTCGTAGTAACATGTAAAGTCACTTAACAACTACCGCTTGCCTGATTGATGGAATTAAATTTAGTGAAATTTTTATATTTTATTAGTTTAAGCTTCAATCTTACATATAAAAAAATTGATTATGATTCAGGAAAGACTACTCTTCTATTAGTTAAAGCAGATGCTCATATATAAATATGTATGGTATTTACATATGCATAATATACTCATATATATATAGCCCTTATGGTGCAGACACATCCGTAACCTTTTGAAATTGATGATTTTGAAACGAATTTTTGTTTCTAACCATGAATTCAATATTATCAAGTAGCATATGCTAAGAGTTATAATTTTGGATAAATGAAATTATTTCTGAAAAATGTATGAAAGTATTGAGACGATATATTTACGGTCTTAAAAGAAATTTCATAATACAGTTTATTTATTTATTGTTGATTAAAAATGCAATATAATGTTCCTACACATTTTCATTAAAATTGCTATTTCCCAAAATATATTGCACTTGCATACATACGTTCATAAAAGGTGTTATATTCAAAATATGTATCCATCTACATAGAAGAAATTGTAGGTATATCCTCAAACTAGAATTGCTTGGGGAATGGCAGCGCCGAAATCGCTTTAAATATGTTCATGCACCAAGCCATCGGGTGCACTGAAAATCATGTGCTATTTAAAGTTCACACAAATGTGCAATGTGTGCATAGATGCTTTAGTGTGGGTGATATACGATTATGTACATAAATACATGTGTATATTTATGTAGCCTAACTTCTAGTAAAGATTCCCCCTTTTGAGAGTTCTTCGAAATTCTCTGCCCAACCCAATTTATCTTTCGTACTCCCTTCTTCCAAAAATTGGTTGATTAAGGCTACCCAACTTGTTGAGCAAGTTGTTTTGAGCAGAAATTGCTATGAGAGGAAAGCAGTAAGCACTATCACTCGGACCGTAACACTTTGGTTTCAGTTTGCGGCGAGACTCAAGCGAATGTGATCGTGCTGCGAGACACCTCTTCGGCGCCTGAAGTGTGTGTGGCATTGTCTGTAGCTCCGGTAAATTCATTGTTGTGCTAATAAAGTAAAAATTAACATACACATGCATACACTCGTCTGTTTGTATGTATTCAAAATACAAAATATATACACAGACTTGAAACGTGTTTAAAATGTATGATTATTTTTTTTATTCTGTTATTGTGTTGTTTGGTTGAGAAAATGTGAATTATATCTGGTGGAATAGAAAAACGCCAATTTTTCAAGTTAAAGACGCGAGAGTATTTATTTTTCCATATATGAAAACGATTTCTATATTTTTGTTTAAAAGTGTGCTAAAGTGTTATCTGCGATCTTTGACGGGCAATGCAAAAATACACAACTAATCCGAATCAAAAGTTCAAATTAATATCTTTAAACTCACAATACACAAAGTACAAACGTAGCTCATGTTGAAGTTTATGTATATGTTTCTTTGTAGGAGGAATTAATAAAAATGTGGTGGAATGGCATTTATACACAGTCAAGGCCAAATAGATTACAGTGTTAATTCATGTATATATATTTACGTGTGTGTGTCCCTCAAACAAAACAACGTATTTCGGCATATCTTCTTTTCAGAATAACAAACAAATATAAATGTGAAACAGTTATCAAAGGGTTATTGAATGAGCTATGCCGTGTCAGTGCTATTCCAGCAAAAGTAAAAAATTCACTTGAGTAACTTTGTGATGAGGAGCACTATTCTTGACGTACAAAGTCTTATGAGAAAGTAATAGTAAACTAATTATATAAATGTGTGTATGTATATGTGCATTAGTGTATGCATGTAAGAAAATAAATTGCTTCAAATCGTAGAACTGTTTTCTCATGCAATGCCTTTTCTATTGGCTCCGAAGTCTTATTTCGATAATTTGCACTAAATGAGCATTTCCCTAAACCGGTTCGGAATTTTACCTGTTGCTTTTGCCGTACGAAAGATAAGGTTTGGGCAATGTAAACGAAGAAAATGAAGTATTCACGTCAAACATTTTCTAAGAAAATGCATAAAAACTCATTCAGAACCCATCACAATTTCGATACGAGCTGTCTTATTATGAGTATGTTATCTTTGGATTCCTCAATAAAGAATCCACTTATTATCCACACATAAACACAGAAATGTGTAATTTCGTATAAATTGAAAATAATAAAACGAAGGAATGACTGAATATCCCGAAGGGGTGTCTTAAGACCCTTAAGAGAAGTGTTTGCAGATAAACATTTCAAGCCACTCCTTAAACCACTTTCTTATTTTTCACTTTCTTCCTCTTTCTTCTTGCTCATGCTTGTTTTGCTTCTTTAACTGCTGGCTTATTCACAACAAAAATATGTTGACTTTCCTTATATATTATATATATATGTATATATAAGTACATGTAGAAATTAGTGTCCACCAAAAAATTACCTACATGAGGAAAGTCAACATATTTTGGTTGTGAATTAGCGAGCAGTCAAATATATATATGTATATATATATATACATATTTTTTTTGCTTCAAACATATGTACATATGTATGTATGTATATCCTATTAGTTTGTTGTATGTTGCAAAGATGGTAACATATTTGCGTACCTACTCGCATACATATGTACATAAATGTGCATTGAAAAACAAATGTATGATAGCAACAACAAACCAAAAAATTAAATGACTCTTCACCTATCGTTTAATGATAAGACTAACCATTTGTCTGAAATGAAAACAACATATATTTGTAGCGCATGTTGCCTTGGGCACGTTGTCCACCCTTAAATTCGGAAAAGATTCAAACTACTTGTACATCACAGAATTTTGTAATATAGGACTTCATTATAAATATATAATTGTAAACATGTTTGCATATAGTCATATATGATATTCAAAGATCGCAGGTAGATTAGTTTCTAACAATAAATATTGAAAAATTCGACTCTGGTGAACACAATTAGTAATTAAAGATAGTAATAAACTTTGAAGCTTGCTCTGATACCGTGGCAATGAAAGCCGAATTTATGCAGAGTCGGCTAATCAATTAATGTACATCTTGTGGTGCGCAAATGATTCCGTGTGTTAGCTTCACGGAAACCAGTGTGCTGGGCAATATGAAAGAACGTGTAAAAGAAATGAAAGTATTTGGCTGTCGTTTAAATTTTTGGAATAATGTCGGACAATGCCTGCCAAGCTCAAAAGGTATGTACATACTTATTACAGATAAGAAGCTATGTGTCGTTACTAAAACGATTTTCGGATATTACTAAAATTTAAGAACTACAGTTTTATAAGTCATTCCAAAGGAACTAAGTTATTTTAATATATTTTTGATACAAAGCAAAATTATGCTAACATATTTCTTTTAATCGATCGTAATGACGAAGGCAATTCATTACAACCCTCACAATATGTTCCCAACAGGATTTCTACAAAGGGTGTCTCCAAGCCTGATCAAATCACATTTGTCGGTAGTCGATAAATATTAGTCCTTCTGCTCGCCTGCAGCACTATCGAATAAATATATTTATGCACTAAAAAAATAGTATTCACTATTGCGGTAACTGCATGTTCCCAAAGTTAGGCAAATATTGTTGCTTGGTCGCAGCTGTTGCTGACGTTTTTAACTTATTTTTATTTTATTTTTGTATGTGTGTGTACTCTGAAGCAAACACATGTGTACGTATAAATGTGTACTACAAGTATTGAGCTGCGAAACCAGAAGCGAGTTTTGCTTGCTTTTCATTGCCGTTGTTGTTGTGTTACTGCTGCTATTGCTGTTGTCGTATTACCAGATATACACAGCCGTGCGTTGAGTATTTGTACAAATTGTTGAAGTTTATTTTTTATACTAACACTACTACATATGCACATACAAACAAATACATATACCGATGTGTGTGTGTGTGTGTGTGTGCAGTACGCATTGTGTATGAAAGTTGAGATACTTCGCCTTAAGTTTGTTTGAATATGAATAGTGGTTTTTCCACTTTTTTACCGTTTCTGCTAGCTACTGTCGCACCAACTGGCTGTGCCGTTGACTATTGTCTCCTGATAGTAACTCAATTTAAGCGCAACTAAATCTGAAGTTAACTTCGCTCACAGCTCTCTTCTGAACTGGCCTGTGAACAGTTTTACTGAATGCAACAACAGTAACCACAACGACTGCGATAGATGCATAGACGCAGTAACAGGTTGGCAGGTTGGATATTATTTATATTTCTTCTTCTTGCCCAGTTGAGTTTTAACTTTTATTAATAGAAGATCGTCGTGTATTCGCAATGCCATCAGAGACATACATATATACATAATTGCCTATATGTATATATATTTCTCATGGCTTAAAAAAACTAAACCTACAGAATTGATGACGTTGAAATCAGAATATTAATAATAGAAAAATCAAGGGATAATAAATTAACGTTTATCAGTTAAATGAGGGCGACTTAACGACGGCTTACGAATATACTTGTACTTTCAAATAGCAACCATTTTTCTTACAACAAAGCAAATTTTGCTATTCATAGTGTGTATACATCATACATATGTACATAAATATATTTGGGTTTACGTAAACTAAGGCAATAAAGTGTGTTTGCAAAAGTGAAGTGAAAAGCCTCCGATGGTTAGACATTTTGCTAAGTCGATAAAAAACGGTATTTTCGCATATTCGCGTATGTATGTACATACAAGTATATGCATGTGTGTTGTGTTCGCAAAGTTGAAAAAATAATAACTAAAATTTACCTAATATCAATATAGCCCAATAGCGATCCAAAGTTATACCCAACAGATAACTGTGGCTAAAAGTGGAAAACTTAAATAAATTAACAGACTTTTAGTCGTGAAGTTTCGATCGAAAATTGACGGAGGAAAAAGCCAGTGTGCTCGGATGTGCAGATTCGATGTATTTTTTTAACATTGTATCTTATAGTGGCTTTTTCATTTTTCCACTCAACGTTGAAGTACAAACTAATTTCATTGTTGTTTTTACCTTGCGTTATTTGCAGCTTCTTAATAATTACATATATACATATGTATGTGTGTATATGTTTTGAAGACGAGGCTTAGTCAATGTGGTTACCATAGTGTCTTGCCGATGTGGTGTTCTTCAAGTCTTATTACTTACTTTATTTATTTATTATTTCTTTTTCACCATCTAACTTAATGTCTTAAGTAATTACGGACGAATGCATGTTGCGTGCGTGTGCGTTACGGCATTTATGGTGTTTGGCTTATTGGTGAACTGCGTTTGAAGGTGATCGCGCAAGTATAGCCATTAGCTGCTTAGAAACATACGCTTATGCTCGCACAGCAGTCTTAAGGCCTATATTATACTACACGTACTTATTGAAGTATGCGCGTGTGATTTTTAAACCCAACACACAATTTAGTTGGGTGCAAACTTTAAGTTAGTCCAGAAGCACAAAGTGGCATTTTATACTGAAGGAGTTTCATTGGCAAACCTGCCATCAATTGGTGGTGCTTGAATAGGTTTTACATCTATATTATTCACATAAACGGATTATAAACATGCTGACTAATCAGGTTTTTAAAGTGATAGATGCCAAATCAAATTTTCATCGTAAATCATCTTCAGAGATAAAACATTTTTTCTAGTTTAAGGCTTCTTGCATTGTGTAGTAGTGTCAAGGCTCGCTGGTGTCAAAACTTTATGGGCTTAGACAAATTTTTACAATCGAATATCAATAATTTTCATCCATATAATACTATCAAGAAATGGGCCTGCAAATTTACAATCCAAGTTATCTGATTTGATTTCGGAAGACTAATTTTTGTGGGGGTACGTTAAGTGCGAGCTCTACGCTCATAAACCAGCTATGTCCAACCACTTGGAAACCAACACTCAGCACATTTTTGCCTAGCGCCTGTTCAAACGCTACATGCCATAAAATTTGCGAACCAATACTAAATATTGACGATTTCGTCTTGTTTAACTTTAATAAAATTTCTATCCCTCTAAAAAAACACCCTTTACATGTTTGTAGATACCGCGCGCGAAACTTATGGTACACCAGCATACTAGCACTCTTACGATCACTTCACTTGCCGTTAGCAGCCACAGATTATAGCCGCTACAGATAGTGAATTGAGGAAAAGCAAACAAAACCGCTACTAGCAAGTGAGTGCTTTTGTGCTTTTTACAGCAAGCATTTCACTGCAAATTCATCATTGAATTGCTGAATGTCTAAACATAAATTGAAAGCGAAAACTATTGTGTTTGTATTTGTATTATTTGTTGTTGTCCAACACATTGCGTCCGGCTCCAAGTGCATCTGTTCGAATCAACTGGTGCAAATATGATGCTTTTATCCGCTTTGAAGTTGGGTACGTTACTAGGTATTGTATAAAATGTGTGTTGATTGTAATCTAGTTTTATTTTATTCTCATTTTCTTTATGTGACGTTAGTTATTAAGCAAAGTTACTCTTACAAACATATGATATGTATATGTATATCTAAGATACGAGTATATATTTACCAGACATAGAAAAAAGTTTATATACAAAATATGAGAAAGTTGAAAAATAGTCGTATTGATGATTTTGAATGCATTTGTATCCGATATCTTACAGATATAACATTTTGTTGCCGTGCGCTGCCATTTCAGCAGAGCAGCTGTTTTAGGAATGTTGCATCGTCTATTATGGCAGGTTGTTTTTTGTTGCTATGTGTGGACGTACGCAAACTGTTTTACTTTTTATTTATAAAGTACCGTTACCGTTTACGTATTTGCGTTTTTAATGCAATTACTAGAAGTTTTTTTCAAACTGTATTGTGGTTCAAGCTAAGCTTTTAGAATAAATGCATCAACGGAACTTTAAGTATATTGATTGCTTTTGCCGGATTTTTATTTTATTTGTTTCTGTTTTGCTAAAAATAAGGAAATTGCATGAAATAAATAAAGCTGAGCCCAGCAACATACAACCGGGTCGCGTGAGCATTTTATAACAATTTTTTATAATTTTTTTTTTTTTTTGTTTTTTGAGGCTATACATCATGCTTAAAATATTCAAACAACCGACCATTCTTCTCTCAATTCCCGACGCTCTTCTGCTTACAATTAAACGATATTAATAAAAGACATATATAGCAAGATGGTCAATAAAAGCGAGTGAATATTAATGCAAGCAAAGCCAATTTTTGACGTCAAGCAAGACAATGCAATGTTTGAATACATGAAGTTTTCTGCTGTTGGTATTCTTATGATGAACATGCATATATATTATTATATCAGTTATTATGTGTGAGGGAATTCAATAACCTGCTAAAATAAGCCTTGGATCTACACATAACTAACACATAATTTTCTGGTTTGTCCTTGACTTAAGCACCATGTCTGCGCACTTTCTTCGCCATAACCGACCTACAGCTGACGTGCGTTAAACCATCAACTGACTTAAATCCCACACTCCTACAACGAACTCAAAGCAAAAACACTTTAGGTATACAATTTTGGCGAAACAGTTGCGCAATGCTTTGATGGTTTGAAAACTCCCACACCGAATGGCTTTCGCTGTCGCTTTGTGCGGACAATGTACTAAAGGCCATTCGTGTTTTTGATTGTTAAGCATATGTAGATGCGTATATGAGCCTAGTATTACGAGCATTTTCAATTTCCAATAAATTTTGTCATGGCTTAACATTAAATTTCTTTAATTTTTATAGGTACAGGAAGCTCTCCTGCCCAGAACACTACTCGTAGTAGTAGTCCGAACAACTCCACCTCGACCAGTCAATTTAATCTGCATCATAACAGTTCCGGAAGTTTGGGAAGCGCGACACCTACAGCTGCACCGCTACAAGTAAGATAACTTTTCTTTAGAAAATTTGCCATTTTCATCTTTTCACTTGTTCTGCTCCCGTTTAGCCTTCGGTTACCACCTTTAAGCAAACACCAAATATTTTGAATAGCGGCGCTACATCGTTGGACAACACAATGCCGGGAGGTATTCCAACGCCGGGTACTCCAAATTCTAAGTCTAAGGTAAGCTTAAGCACTTTCAAATAGTAATTTATATTATATATGTATATCATTTTGTACACTTGCAGGATAATTCACATTTCGTCAAAGTTGTGGTGGCTCTTTACCCGTTTAAAGCTATTGAAGGTGGTGATTTATCACTCGAAAAGGTAGTGCAGAGTGTTTGTATTGATGTTGGACCTAAAATCAGAATGACTTTTGTTGCATAATATTCTTTTTTATTAAGCTTTTTATATAATGCATATGTACTTCTGTATTTCTTCATTAGAATGCTGAATATGAAGTGATTGATGATTCCCAAGAGCACTGGTGGAAAGTGAAGGACGCTTTGGGCAATGTGGGCTATATACCAAGTAATTACGTTAAGCCAAAAGCTTTACTAGGCTTGGAGCGTTATGAGTGAGTGCACATATTTACCCATATTTATTCGGAATTCCTTGCATTTAAACAAACTTTATTTTGGCACGCAGATGGTATGTTGGCGATATGTCTCGTCAACGCGCTGAATCTCTTTTGAAACAAGGTGACAAAGAAGGTTGCTTTGTTGTGCGGAAATCATCGACAAAAGGTTTATACACGCTGTCCTTACATACCAAAGTGTGAGTGTAACAAAATACTCGTATATTCTAGACAAAAACTGAATAACATTTGCATATTATTCTCTTCTCCCTAACCATAAATAGACCACAATCTCATGTGAAACATTATCACATCAAACAAAATGCGAGAGGCGAGTACTATTTGAGTGAAAAGCATTGCTGCGAGACCATACCGGACCTAATAAACTATCACCGACATAACTCCGGGGGATTAGCGTGCCGTTTAAAATCATCGCCTTGTGATAGACCAGTTCCACCAACTGCAGGATTGTCCCACGGTAAGTGGTATCAAAATTATTTGTTGTGCTTGCTTCAAGCACGTTTCAAATTTTTATACAACAGATAAATGGGAAATTCACCCAATGGAATTAATGCTCATGGAAGAGCTTGGTTCGGGGCAATTCGGTGTGGTACGACGGGGAAAATGGCGTGGATCCATTGACACTGCTGTTAAAATGATGAAGGAGGGCACCATGTCCGAGGACGATTTCATTGAGGAAGCCAAAGTGATGACCAAATTGCAACATCCTAACCTTGTGCAATTGTATGGCGTTTGCTCGAAGCATCGTCCTATTTACATTGTCACCGAATATATGAAACATGGATCGTTGTTGAACTACTTGCGCCGACATGAGACCACACTGATTGGGAACATGGGTTTGTTGTTGGACATGTGTATACAGGTATGTGTAATTTATTTCTCCGTTATTTTTCAATTCGCATGCTTTCATTGAACGCATTGTCGCTTTATTTATTGCGCTACAGGTTAGCAAAGGCATGGCTTACTTGGAACGTCACAACTACATTCATCGTGATTTAGCCGCACGTAATTGTCTCGTTGGTTCTGAAAATGTAGTAAAAGTCGCAGATTTCGGTTTGGCTCGCTATGTTTTGGACGACCAATACACAAGCTCAGGTGGCACCAAATTTCCTATTAAATGGGCACCGCCGGAGGTGTTGAACTATACGCGTTTCTCTTCCAAAAGCGATGTCTGGGCATACGGTACTTAACCTATATACGAAATGAGTTCATTTTCTTTTAAACAATTTAATTTTTTCGAATTTCTCATTTAGGAGTACTTATGTGGGAAGTGTTCACCTGTGGCAAAATGCCTTACGGTCGTCTTAAGAACACCGAAGTGGTGGAACGTGTCCAACGTGGTATTATATTAGAAAAACCAAAGTCATGTGCAAAGGAAATATACGATGTAAGTAAGGGCACACAAGCCTATTGCTTTTCATATAATATTTGAAAATTGCATTTACATTACATAAATTTGTGGTGTTAATATTCATAGGTTATGAAGAAATGCTGGTCTCACGGCCCGGAAGAGCGCCCCTCATTCCGTATTCTCAAGGAGCAACTAGCCCTCGTCGCTCAAACACTAACTGACTAAGCTTCAGCAGAGTTTATCGATGCGACATCAGTGATTGTCGAATTATGTACTGAGTTAATTTATATAGATATTAGCAAAGTAATCGATGAGTGAAATAATAGGAAGGAAAATAGAGTTTGCCAAAAGCTTATTCTTTAGAAACAAGTAAATGCTAAGTAAAGTAATCCAACTGCTAATATGAATTCATAATATCATCCATCTTTAAAAGTAGTCAATACTTTTGTGGAAACTAAACAAAAATATATAAGTAGGAATATAAAACAAGTCAAATAATTAAAAAAAAAAATAGGAAAAAATAAAGAATTTCATATTAAGAATAACGCTCTTCGTAAACGTGCGATTCGCGAAAGTATTCAAAAAGTTGTCCAGATGACTTAAATACATACATAAGTATATGAATGCATCCTAAAATGTTTGTAATTTTTTCAACTAGCCAGCCACGTTAATTAAGAAATGAACAATTGAAAGAGAGATTTTTGAACTATTTTTAGTAAGAAATAACGTTTAGTATGCTTTTTTATTGTGCTTTTTACTTTTATATACACAAAAATGAACGTATGCATACAAAAACTAAATTTAGATATAAATAACGTAATTCGAATATTGAAACTGATTAAATATAATGCCTATGGATATCTTAAATGTAAGTAAAGACGCCATGTATAATGTGAGAATTGAGTTCACGTTGAAGAATTTATGTATTATTTCATATTTTTCCGTACAAAACTACGGCGAGTTGAATAAGAGTAAAAATATAATTAAAAAGTAAAACGTGCATAAGAATGATTTTTTTATAAAGTATATGCCTATCCAGGCAAACACTCACCGTTCTAATATTTGTTTTTGGTTTAAATATTTCCATATACATACCTACATGGATAAAAGAAAAGCATAAACAATTATTTTTAAATCGCATTGTGTGCGCATAGTAATTATGAATTATTATAAATTCTTTTGTGATTTACTTTTAATATTTGCAGATAAAAGTGAAACTTGAATGCACCTTATACGTATAGCAACCGCCTGTATTATTCACTTATACATATACATTTGTATATATGTGTATTTGAAAACATTATATATGTATGTATGGGTGTATTTTGAATTGATATTTCAAGTTTTATTTGATAAATATTTGTAGAACTATAATTTACATTACTATTTTGATGTACAATTACATATCCGCTTATTCATATACAAACATGCATATGTATTTCTGTGTAATGCATTTGTATGACACGCAATATCCAAGCATTGGTTTTTTTTTATTATTCGTATTATCAATGTTTTAGTTGTATTTAAATTATTTTGTAAGATGTAATAAGAAAATAACGAATAAAAACATACATACGCGTTTTTATCAGCAATTTTTTTTTTTTAATTTTTACTATGCGAATGCAAAATAGTCGCCTCATAAAGCGCACATGTATTGAAATAAACTAAATACAAATGTAACCAATTGATATAAAAGGGAAACAATGATCTGCTGAAAGAGTAACTCAGCGAGATCAGTTTGCACTATGGGAATAAAGGTTATGCGTGCTAGTGTTAAGCAACACAGTGCTTTGATACCATTTAAATGTAGTATGCGGCTGCGCAGTGTTCTTTGCTTTTTTTCTACACAAAAACTCACATCCTTAGTCAAACTTAAAAAGTGCAGATGGACACCATTCATTTCATATATTAGTTATGATTTACTAAACACAAACCGAAAAGCGACTCATGACTTTAAATAAAAGTTTGCTGCAGCATATATCTGTAATCAAACATTAAGAAATACAAATTTACGCTGATGGGCCTTGGATTAGTATGCAGCATATCAGTGCATAAGCACACACATATGCATACACAATTCTAAGCTAAATTCAGGAATCCGGAAAAACAATGAATACGGGTTAGAATGTATGAATATGTAGAGGTTTAATTTAGAGCTGTTGTTTTCACATGAAATCTTCGTTTTTATTTAACTGAAAACAGTTCACATACCTTTATGAAATGATGAGTGTGATGTAATGCAATAGTAATACATAAGTTGAAGTTGTGTCATTCTTCAAAGCGGTTGTGAAATGTTTCAATTAAAATCATATCACAGCCAGCTTTGAGGAGCGATACGATTTTGTCAACAGCACCAATGGCTGGAAACTAACCGTTCTTTGTTGGCTCGCTCGAAACGTTCAGTTCGGTAATTGAGTGCCGAAAGTATAAATTTCACGAATTAATTAACATTCAATTTAAACTCAGCAAAAATAATTTTTGCAAGAGTCATGAATGTTATGTATGTATGTATATATGTACATATGTTAGCATGGTAGTCAACTTATTTATGTGTGGGTGTAAATTGCAATTGGAGAAATAAAGCAATATGAGTGGGGCATACAATCGCGCAGAGCGTGGGCACAAAATCTAGCGTCAATTTTCGAATGGTTTGTACTCATGTACGCAATTCATTTGCTAAAATTTCATTTCAATTGAGTTTAGAACGTTCACGCATGAATCGTCGTTAAAGCGAGAAATTGTGTGGGTTAAGGTTGTCGCGTTGAACTGTAGAAAGCCAATGCTAAAATTTTACTTTAAAATTACCTATTTGCCTTACAAAAAATATTGAAATAAAAAGAGTATCTTAAACAAAATCTTAAAATCTTTAATCGCAACTTGAAATATTTTATATACTACATATCATATACATGAATTCAGCGTTTATAGTAATAAAACCGTTATTATTTAAAATGTATTTTGGGAGGGAGAGCTAGCTTGAATTGAAAAAGCTCTTCAACTCACACAAACCAATATAATTGTTTAAGTTTATTGGAGCTTTACTCACAAAGCGGTTTGCTGTTCAAAATGTAACGGACCGTTGTCAGTCTTTTTCTATAATTTTTAAAATATGTCCGTCGTTTTTAGTGCAAAATTTTAGTTATATGTAGAGCAACGTGTGTTCGAAAATTTGATCGCAATTTTCTTTAAGTGCGCCCACTGGCGAGTCTTTTGGGTTGTGTACGAATTCAATTAAGAGAATCGTTCAGGTGTAAGCATATGCTGTACGTTTGTGTGATTGTTTGACATGTTGAATTTTGTTAAATTGCACATAAAGATATACATAAAAGCTCTTTTAATTGAATTAAATTGCCGATCGACGCGGGCAGGTCGAAATAATGCGTTTTAAGAACTGACGAAAATGAGAAATTCACAACGTGGGTCTTGTGCTTATACCTAAATACACGGCTGCAACTGGAAATTCAATTTTTATTTGAAAATGTAATGCTTTTAAAAAATAACGGTCGAAGGTAGGGAGAAACGTATGAAGTTTTATAAAACAATCGTATACCGATGTGCATGCATCGTCGATTACTATATTCACAAGCATTTATGGTATACATACACATGTCTGTATGATTCCAAATATTTTATTTATTTTTTGTTCATTTCAGAATGCAAAAGCTTTTGAAACAATATATCTGACCGAAAAGTAAAGCAAAAATACATTGCTTTCTAGTAATTTCCGTTACATCAAAACTTGCAATATAAGTTCTGTATGTACTTAGATACATACATACACATTTCTTTAAGAAAATTGAGTTTTCATTTGCTTTAATATTTTTTATAATATGTTATATCAAATATTTTAATCAATATTCCTTTTTACTAGCGGCTAGCACTTCTTTAGACAAATTAATAAACACTCACACACACTCATGCAATGAGCAAATAACTTCACAATTTAGATTTGACACAACACCTTGACGATGCGGGAGCTTTTTGTAAGCTCTCGAGCGCCAAACCTACCAATGCTAACTTCAAGCTTGCTCGAACAAGTTAGACGAAAACTAGCAGCGCTAGCACTAAACGATTCAGTTGTAGCTCAACCGCCAATCCGACTAGTTTGCCGAAAATCGCAAAATCGCAAAATCGCTCCATTGCACTTCTACTCAATAAGCAATCAATTAATCTTCCAAGCCCCGGCGAAAAATAACAACACTGTATATAAATAACAACGCGTATAAAAAACTAAAAGTCTACGAATGTAAGCATAATTAATCCAAGTGATAAACGAAATCGAAAATACTCATTTTATCCTACTCTTCTGCAACTATTAACTTGTATTTGTAAATAAACGGTGCAAGGAGTGTAATCGCGTTTTCCGAGTTTACAGATGAACTTAGCGATTTCCTGGAGCTAAAAGGTTCCATAAATCGACTAAGCGATAGCAAAACAGCGAACGGCTTGAAGAGATACTGCTAACCCCAGAACAGGCTTATTGCGGAGAGCAACCAAGGTAAAAAAAAAGGTTTAAAAAAAATCGAAATAGACGGAAAGTGGGCGGCTTTTTGACATTGCCACTGTAGGCTGTCAGTGTCTGTGGCACAGCGGTGCCGAGGGTGCAACGAGTAGTGCACTTCGACGCAGCTACTCACATATAGTAAATGCACAAATGTCTGTGCATACATACACGTGTAAGCATGAGCTAGTTGCATGTGTGTTTTATTGTTGTTGTATTGCTGTTTCAGTTCATTGACTGATTGCCGCGAACTGAAATGGGATGGGTGGCGCTGTTGTTGTTATTGTTTTTTGTTTCAAATTGTTTTCCAAAACGTTTTGATTTACAAATTGATCCAAGCACATGTTTGTAGGTGTATGTGTGTGATTGTGGCACCGCAATTCGAAGCGTTCGCGCTGTTTATCATAAAGCTATTCTTGAATGCTGCGGAAATGGCCAAATAAGTAAATCTCTCATTATAATTTTTCACTTTTTGCGATATTATTAACGATGAGGCGATCTGATCTACGAATAATGACAATAAACAATTACCCATTGACATTTAAGGCAATATCTTTTCCATACACATTTAATTAATTGATTATTTGTTTACGCGTGTATGTACTATATGTACATATGTAGCTTCTGGATTAGTATCTCAAATCTTTGCCGACAAAACAAAAGCATTAGAATCAAAATCTTTCAACTAAGATTTTCTAACCTTGTTTTGCATATGCGATTTTGAATATTTTAATATTATATACATATATCATATACATATCTATTATGCCTAAGTAGTTAGTTGCATGTGTATTAACTTGTATTTATGGCTTAATTACTTGTAAAAGCTGATATTTCATTATTAATGCTGTGTGTGTATTAGAAACGTTTCATAAATAACCACATACTCGTACATATGTATATAGTTAGGTGAGTAAGTCATGTTATACCCTCCAAGCGATAATAACAATTCCAAGTCAACACTTAGAAACAAACACATTGTGCGTATAAATGTATATTTGCGTACAAGCAGTGAAAACAAAACAAACGTATGACATCAGCATAAGAAACCGGTCTTGAGATTTCACAGCTAATCTCATTTACCATTTCCCGCTTATGAACTCACTACATCATGAAAAAAAGCCAATCTTTCAAACGAACCGGACTAGGTGGTTGAGGTGCCGAATTGATACAAGCGCATGGTGTTTATTTCCGAATAAGTGCATACATACGTAGGTACTTATGTATAAGAGCATATGTATCGTACCAACGCAAGCAGAGATCAGCAAACCATATTAACCAGCTAAGCTAAGTAAACTGATTTCGTAAAGCGACCAAACGACCGCAAAGCCACTTCGCAAAAGTCTGCGAATTTACATTTACATATGTACCATGGTATATTCATGCACTTGCATTCTCGATCAGTGGGACCTGATCTGTTTTTGGCAAGCTACCAAATGCTGGGACAATATGTCAACGACACTTTTCAGCATTCTTCCGTGCAAACAAAGCGAGACATAGCGAGTTAAGAATTGTTTGTGAAAGTTTCCAACAAAAATGTATAACAAATAATAAACAAACAATAATACAAAAAAACAGTTACTTGTATTATTTACTCCTACATACTAAATAGTATACTAACATAAGCGACTAAAATGGCTTGACAAACATGTTACTTTAAAATTTACGTCATTTGTTTTATATCAACTCATTACTATTTATATATACATACTTATATAAGCTCTTTGTCAAATTATTTTGTATTTACGTGAGCTATTGCTCTTTGGCTCTCACCGTATTATTTTTACAAAAACTCCAGTCTTTTGACTTCGATTTAAATATGTGTATTACCTCATCCCTCGGAGAAAAAAGTCAAATTAAAATCCCATTATAAAAATATGAAATCATGCTGGCAATAAGACTGATTTATTCACCAAGCATACATACACACGCACATTCAGCTATTTACCTTAGCTCTGTGGTCACACTACCAAAGAGAATTTCCAAAAACTGAAGAGGTATAACTTTTATTTATAACTTTTTATTGAAAATTTTATTTATTTAAATTCGAACAATTTTTATATGTTTATATTATATGCACTTAATAAGTTCCCAAAGGAGGTGTTTCATGTAAATGTTTGACATTAAGAACCCGAACTCTGCTTTAAGACTCTGAAAACTCTTGAAGATTTACCGGGCACAAAGCAATTGTTAATCAATTAGATATTTCTATATTTAGTCTGTATACGCTTGCATAATTATCCAATTTGTAAAAGAACTTTAGTTGAAAACTTTCTCCAGGTTTTTTTTAATTCTCATCCCACGCATTTTACTCATTTTGTCTGGCATATTTAATTAATTTTTTAACATCATTGAATCTAAAACAAATTACACCTATGTCGGTATATATGTATTTTAGCTCAATTCCATATTTAGCCAAGAATAAACAACCGTAGACAAGTCTATATTTGTTTGTATGTGCATATAAGCTATTGAAAACGAAATACATAACGTAACGCAATCTCTGATGACACAAAAATATGTCTCAAACAGTCACTCAGTTGTGTGGGCGACAATGATGTATAGTTTTTCAATGCGAGTTCACCGTGATCGCGCTTTTCATCAACATTCATAGCATTTATTTACAAACACATACATATGTAAAAATTGCCCGTTTATGTTTGTAATCTGTGTATTCAAAATTCTGTTAAAATGTCACTAACGAACTCAAAATAGTAATAACTTATTTTTTCTCTTACTAAAGCTATTATGGTAACACAGCATACACTTAATTGAACTACTTGGCGTATGAGCAACATTTTTATACTCTTGCAATATGTTTGTCTATCACTTCATAACTTTTATGAAAGTGCATGCAGACTTATGTTATAGCAACTGTAACATACTAGTTTTCAGACTGTCTTCTAGCCGATTTATGAATAAACAGAAATAGACTATCGGGAACTAAAAATCGTAAACATTTTTCTTTGTGTATTGTTATTTTGGTCTATCACATTTACTTTAATAGTGACCGCTTAATATTTATATATTTTTTGTGACGTTGCAGTAAGAACATTAATGCAAGCCGCTGCATGCATATATAAAGCGTAAGCAAAGCTAATTTGCGCAATGCGTAACTTCCGTCGCCATTATGGCTGTACTTATTATATTTCCGATCCATTTCGAATAATTGCATGACAAATTAACATGAAGGCTTTATATATTTTGTAGCTACCCTTGAAACGCAAGATTTACTAGTGTACAAGAGAAATAATCATCGATCGCTTTTCGAAACTCATTTGGGTCTAGTCTATAGAGGATTTTCAATTTTGTTGTTTTATAGCAAACCTACCTCAAACACTAAGCCACCCCTCATCGGCCAAACACGTCGCCACTAACAACCGAACACCGAAATGCACAAATGAAGTAGTATTAAGTGAAATCAAAATGAGGACAACCAATCAAAAATACTTTTACTGTTACATACCCATGTAAACATCAAACACTTATACTACATATATGCAAGCAGACTTACGTACATATATGTATAATTTTATAGTCATATATCTATGTACATCGTTAAAAATTATCCATTGTAGCCGAAAACTTGAATATACATATGTACGTAGTTTGTTTGTTTTGTTCCGCTTCACCACGCCATCAAAATAATGGTTGTCCTAGAAAATTTGACGTTCTTCATGACATTCCTTTGCATGTGTGCATGTATAAATATGTGTGAGCGTGTTTGGCTTTGTGTTTAGATACAATCGATGCATAGTAACTGAAAATCAGCTGACTGTGTTGTATTTATCTAAATATCTATATGTATCTGCCCGTATTTAGTATTTAGTATTTATTTACATACAATTACATAGTATATGTATAATATATACGGAAAACGACCACGAACACGTTTTGTGAGATGGGATGGAACGCTTAGTAATCACTTATTCCAAAGTGAATGGAAATCGGTGCATAAGTCAAGTCCTGATACGTTCATATGTCGCCACACAAACCAAATACACACTAATTGACATATAGAGATCACACTTCACATGAACATATGTAAAAAAGGTTGTACCAATCTAGAAAAAAAAATTGTATTGATTCGGTTTCGCGCGGAGTTTAAATGGACCTGTCCGAGTCAAGTCGTCGTACAAAAGTCAGCGATCTTAACTAACCCAAATCATGAAATCAGCGTTCATGTTTGCAATGCTGTAGGCAGGCACCAAAACAAAACACGTTTCTGAAAGAGAGAATCAGAGAGACTTGTACTCAATCTTTTATAGTTTTTCGTACTATATGAGAAATATTCTCCATGTAAGCAAGCAAGCATTCATTTTTATAACCTTATCTTGAACGCTTTCTTCTCTACTTTACTAACTTTTCTAATTCGAGGCTTAATTCCAACAGGTCTATAGCCTCTACAATTTTAATCTGTGGAACGTTGTTTCAATTTTGAACGATTTCGGGTATTCATTTTGTGCGCGATTTTCTTTCTATCCATAGGCAATTTCAAAACCTTTACAGATATGCCATTATTTGTTGCGGACTTCCACTTTTTGTATTAAAAGCCAAGTAATAGTGTTTTAGGTAGAGCATATTCTTGGTTATGAAAGGAACAAGTTGCCCGAGAACCTGCCATAATAAATATGATTCTAATGCATCTAAGTTTATATGAGTCTTATTTCTATACATTTCAATTATTTTGTGTAAACAACAAAAAGCTAGCAGAAGCATACATATCTACACATCGTTCATTTGCAAATATTGCTTAAATAATAGATCTCAATACCAGCAAAATGGTCACTGTGGTAATTTTCAATCTCGCTTTCGTCATATTTACGCGCGCCTGTATCAAATCGAAATATATTATATATATGCATGTATATACGTAAATAAATCTGTATATATATTTCTCCCCACAGAGAAAAGCAGCAAAAACGAAAAAGATACGCGGACCCTGTGAACCAGTAAATAAGAAACGACTGTTGACCATGGGCACCGGCATCGAACAGAGACCTTGGACACCGACTGTACGCCGCGGTAAAATAGCCGCGGAGACTTCTAGTCCGGGACCAGCGTGTGTGCAACTGCCCACTTTAGTCGGTATGAAGAACAAGAAAATATGGTGAAATGTATAATATTCCGTTTCATAATCGCGCTAGGCAAGAAAGTACCTGACTCGAAGAAACCAGGCGCTCCAGCGTTTACTTTTGGCCAGAAACATCGCAGCAACTTCGATTCAATTGGACCTGGGCCAGCGCAATACGATGTTACCGGATTGGGTATGAAAGGGAAGGCCACTCCTCCAGCAGCGAGCTTACGCAGTCGTCCCAAAGATAAAACACTCTTCAGGACGCCAGCACCCGGCGAGTACGATGTGGATCGAGCTGCAAAGGCCGTCATCGACGCAACGCCCAAGTATTCTTTCGGACAAAAGCCGCCAAATGAGAAGCCAAACTTAACGCCTGGTAAGTTAGTTTGGTGCTTCAAGCATTCAAACATTTGCTTTAGGTATTCATCAAATAATAATCAATTCTTGTTATCGATGGATGGATGGATGAGCTTACTGCATTTTTGTTTGATTTATGATATCCTAATGCTGGTTCATTTTCTAATACACAGCTACCTTAAAGCTTTCAAACACGTATTCGATACTAAGGTCATTCAGTATTAAAACTTATCAAATGCATGTGCCCCATTCTCATAACTTTATAATGTTTCAGTTCTGTGTCGATGAGTTTTTCATTCAAACAAATCCAAAAATTGGAATTTCAGATGACGCCGAATGGTGGTTTAGCAACGTGTTAATAATTTGTGCTTGTGTTAAATAGCTTGTGAAAGCTCGGTTCGTACATACGAGCTTATATATCTACATATGTACCAAATGTTAGCGATAAGAAATCAAAATTCCTAATCAAATCAGAGGTAAATTGTTAGTCCTTTTTAAATTCTTTGTAGTGTAGTGAATTGGTGCTTTATCTTACGAGTATTGAACAAAAAGCTTCATGTAAATGTTGAAATACTACCTTAATCTTTACCACTTTTATTTAAACTACACTAAATAATTTTACGACTTTTGGTATCTATACATACTTACATACTTGTAAGTAAAAAAATAGTTGCACAAAATATCGGTGAGTTCCACTTTTTTACATTATAGAAATATATAGACGATAGATGTACAACATTTCAAAAAGTATAATTTAGGACATTACACGATTTAGAAGACACATTTATTTATGCAAAAGGCTCTAAAATAGAGGTATTGTACCTCCGTTGGCAAGTATTTTCTTAGTATATGGTACTTTGACATTTAAAACTTTATAAGAATAATTAATTGCTTTTAGGTTAAAAAATTGGTTAATTTTTTACATTTGCTTTGTAAACATTTACAGTATCCCCCGGATAATTGCACTTCAAAAATTGCACAAATATACATTTTGGCTAAATTAACCGGGGAATCAATTAACCGATACTCATTTAATTGAACAATTTGTTCACTTACAGGAATGCCACTTAATTGTACAACCAAATCAATTAAAAAAAATCATATTTGCACTTTAAGTATTTATTTAGTTTTTAGTAATGATATTTAAATAATATTTTTAACTTTAAACGGAAACAAAAGCACAAAAACAAGACAATGTACATATATTTAGAGATCATTGTTTTAAAAAAAATAGAAACAAAAAAAATTACATTATTGTATTATAGTATTTTATTTTTTTGTATATGGTTTTATCTACGTGAAATAACGTGCTATTCCATATTCGCTAATTTACTTTGTTTTGCAAATATACTAACTGGTGCTTATCACAAATGCTGCGAACTATGCGCGGCAATGCCTGATAATTTTTTAAAATAAAGTTTTTTGTGCAATTAACGAAGGAAAATTAAACATATATTTTTTTCCATAACACATATTTTTAACCAATTGCGGGAAAACCAATTTACCGGGTTCAATCAAGCGGGAAAATTGGCACGTATTTTGTATGCAATATATTTTTGGCGGATCAGACGATTTAAATAAGCGAAAAAATCAATTAATAATCTCAATCTCAAACAGCTCAGAATTTAATTTTTTTCTAATAAGCACTTTCATATTTTATAAAAGAATAGAATGTATAAGCGACAGTTTAATGATTCCGGCCTTAGCCAGTATTTAACTACGAGCATACTTCTATGTTATCAATCTTTCCTATGTATTTAATCTTTGCTTAAGTTATATATGTTATATATACTGTTATACATAGGCATACATATGTATTTATGAACGAGTATGCTTAGCAGTATGTGCATGCAGTTAGTTGAATGTTTGTATGCTTTTGGCATTTCTTTAAGCAATAATCCCAATGAAAGGATGCACGTTCGCCTGCGCTCAAGACCTGTTTTAATTCCTCGTTTTTATTTCTCTTCCAATAACGACAAATAACAAATTTTTTAATGGAATGCTGGTTATAAATAGCGCCAAATAGCTATCGCCCTGAGGTTTCATTTATTAAAAAGAAAGCACCGAGCTACACTTTTGGTAGAAGAACAAAGCTCAGCTTCGAACAGGCGACTCCAGGTAATGCGTTATATAGTACATAGTACACACAGTTAGTACACAAAAACAGATTATTAGATAATTCGCAACTTTTAGTAAACTCATATACATATGTACTCATGTAAATGATATGAAAATAGTCACGGCTTTGCCATTTGCATCGTAGATCAATTAATATGAGCTTATACTAAAATATCGCTTGACTGTGCTTAATTAAAATCAATACGTATGTATGTTCCGAATCCCTACATGCTTCATAACTCAGCATCATTATTTTTATTCAAATAGCACCCGGTGACTACCAAACGGAAAAAATTCGTTTAGATCACAGTCCTGCATTTTCTATGGCAGGGAGACATGATATTAACAAATCCAACGACTCTCCTGCACCAGGAACATATTGTCCCGAAAATGTTCGCCTAGGCAATACGCCGGCTTATACCATAAGCGGAAGATCAGTAAAGATATCAATTAGCGAAACTCCTGGTCCGGGAAACTATTGTCCTGAGAAAATTCGTCTTGACAACACCCCATCATACACAATGGCTGGAAAATATGACTCTAAAATCTGTACTGCCACACCCGCGCCAGGAGATTATTGTCCTGAAAAGGTCAAACTCGATCATACGCCTGCGTATTCCATGGGTGGTCGCCACAACTTACAAAAGCCCAGCGACACACCGGCACCAGGAACTTATTGTCCTGAGAAAGTTCGTCTTGACAACACCCCATCATACACAATGGCTGGAAAACATGATCCCAAACTGAATAACGACACACCAGCACCTGGAGATTATTGTCCTGAGAAGGTGAGACTCGATCATACACCTGCGTATTCTCGGGTGTCGTCACAACTTACAAAAGCCCAGCGACACCCGGCACCAGGCGCTTATTGTCCTGAGAAAGTTCGTCTTGACAGACCCATCATACACAATGGCTGGAAAACATATCCCAAACTGAGTAACGACACACCAGCACCTGGAGATTATTGTCCTGAGAGGTCAGACTCGATCATACACCTGCGTATTCTATGGGTGTCGTCACAACTTACAAAAGCCCAGCGACACACCGGCACCAGGCGCTTATGTCCTGAGAAAGTTCGTCTTGACAACACCCCATCATACACAATGGCTGGAAAACATGATCCCAAACTGAGTAACGACACACCAGCACCTGGAGATTATTGTCCTGAGAAGGTCAGACTCGATCATACACCTGCGTATTCCATGGGTGGTCGTCACAACTTACAAAAGCCCAGCGACACACCGGCACCAGGCGCTTATTGTCCTGAGAAAGTTCGTCTTGACAACACCCCATCATACACAATGGCTGGAAAACATGATCCCAAACTGAGTAACGACACACCAGCACCTGGAGATTATTGTCCTGAGAAGGTCAGACTCGATCATACACCTGCGTATTCCATGGGTGGTCGTCACAACGTACAAAAGCCCAGCGACACACCGGCACCAGGCGCTTATTGTCCTGAGAAAGTTCGTCTTGACAACACCCCATCATACACAATGGCTGGAAAACATGATCCCAAACTCAGTAACGACACACCCGCGCCTGGAGATTATTGTCCTGAGAAGGTCAGACTCGATCATACACCTGCGTATTCCATGGGTGGTCGTCACAACTTACAAAAGCCCAGCGACACACGGCACCAGGCGCTTATTGTCCTGAGAAAGTTCGTCTTGACAACACCCCATCATACACAATGGCTGGAAAACATGATCCCAAACTCAGTAACGACACACCCGCGCCTGGAGATTATTGTCCTGAGAAGGTCAGACTCGATCATACACCTGCGTATTCTATGGGTGGTCGTCACAACTTACAAAAGCCCAGCGACACACCGGCACCAGGCGCTTATTGTCCTGAGAAAGTTCGTCTTGACAACACCCCATCATACACAATGGCTGGAAAACATGATCCCAAACTGAGTAACGACACACCAGCACCTGGAGATTATTGTCCTGAGAAGGTCAGACTCGATCATACACCTGCGTATTCCATGGGTGGTCGTCACAACTTACAAAAGCCCAGCGACACACCGGCACCAGGCGCTTATTGTCCTGAGAAAGTTCGTCTTGACAACACCCCATCATACACAATGGCTGGAAAACATGATCCCAAACTGAGTAACGACACACCCGCGCCAGGAGATTATTGTCCTGAGAAGGTCAGACTCGATTATACACCTGCGTATTCCATGGGTGGTCGTCACAACTTACAAAAGCCCAGCGACACACCGGCACCGGGCGCTTATTGTCCTGAGAAAGTTCGTCTTGACAACACCCCATCATACACAATGGCTGGAAAACATGATCCCAAACTGAGTAACAACACACCAGCACCTGGAGATTATTGTCCTGAGAAGGTCAGACTCGATCATACACCTGCGTATTCCATGGGTGGTCGTCACAACTTACAAAAGCCCAGCGACACACCGGCACCAGGCGCTTATTGTCCTGAGAAAGTTCGTCTTGACAACACCCCATCATACACAATGGCTGGAAAACATGATCCCAAACTGAGTAACGACACACCCGCGCCTGGAGATTATTGTCCTGAGAAGGTCAGACTCGATCATACACCTGCGTATTCCATGGGTGGTCGTCACAACTTACAAAAGCCCAGCGACACACCGGCACCAGGCGCTTATTGTCCTGAGAAAGTTCGTCTTGATAATACCCCATCATATACAATCGCGGGGAAACATGATACCAAAGTGAAGAACGACACACCCGCCCCTGGCGATTATGCACCAGAAGCAGTGAAGCTTGGCCACTCACCTGCATTTAGTATTGTCGGCCGGAGAAATGTCCAGCTGATTAGTGATACACCAGCTCCGGGTGAATATTATTCTGAAAAGGTCCGCCTAGATCATAGTCCAGCATTTACCATATGCAGCCGAAAATACCTTAAACACACAGAAAACACACCATCTCCATGTGATTATAAACCCGAAGAATGTAAACTTGATCAGTCCCCAGCTTATACCTTTGGCATAAAAATAAATCCTCACATCAGAAATGAATCGCCAGCACCAGGGCAATATGAATTCGAGAAGATTAATATGGATCGAGGTCCCGCGTACACTTTTGGTTTAAAAGTAACTCACGAGTCAGTCAGTGAAACCCCAGGTAAGGCCTTATTATATCTCTACATATTGCACGAGCTTTGATCAAGGATCAAACATACTATATGCACATATACACTTACGATTGCAAAGTTTATTAAAATCTCAAGTCAAGTCGGAAGACTTCACAAGATATAGCTTTCTACTGTGCAACTTAGATAAATTACTCTTTATTTATTTGCCCTAATACCTTAGCATGTGTATATAAGAAATAATATTACGTCTCCGCAGCACCCACTGCTTATGAACCAGAAAAGCACACTCTCGATTACGCACCTTCCTTTAGTTTTGGCTTAAAGCCCAAGAGCAAGTTGACCACCGAGGCACCAGGTATGTTTTTAACACATTTTTATATTTTAATTTTAGTTGTTTTGCAATAAAAAGTTCCTTATCGGTAATTCGGTTGAGCGATTGGTTGTGGTTAAGCATATGTACATATACTCTTTCATATACCTTGCAGTAAAACATCAAGCTTGTCCGAAGAAATACAAGTCTACAATTAAATAGACCTGACTAAAATCCAACTCGTTAGAATATAATTTGGCTAATACCAATCTTTTGAAAATGAAAAAAGAGAGCATAAAAAGAGACTGCATAAGTAACCAAAAGCAACGAAAAACTTGAACAATATACAAATTGAAAATTTCCCTGAAGATATTCGTTGAAATAGACTAACATATTCGTCTTTTAATTCCAATGTATACTTTTGACTGATACTTTACAAATGAGAATGTCGAAGGACATGAATACGTAAAAAAATATCAGTTTCTGTTGGATTTAGGCAACTAACGAATCGTTTGCGGTTCCATTTTATTTGTTACTGACGTTTTGAGAGATTTGGTCAGGTTTTGTTAACAAGTTTTTTTTGATGCTCGCTTACAAGATATAGAGCTTACAATCATTTACACCAATATATTGTATGTATGGATGTGTAGTTTGTGTATTTATTTTCGTCTTTCTCTAAGCACCTGGCCACTATCACCCAGAAAATTGTAAATTGAACAATTCGCCAGCTTTCACATTTGGTCTCAAAGTTGCGCCCATGCCAGGTAAGTCGTGCGCTAGAAATTCCCACCCCATATTTTGTAAATATTTGGCTTTGATGTGCTCTTTTTTTTATAATTTTTGTTGTTTCTGTTTTTCCTTGCTTTCTATCTACATGTGTATATATGTATTCGTAAACTAAATTGGTATTCCACATGCATGTCCTGTGCGTATCGCATATTCAGCTCTGCCAAAGGGTGCTTATGTAGAAGATCGTATTTTGCAAAGACGAGAACGGCGTTTAGCTAGTCCTGGTAAGTACATATTGATGCGCTCTGTACATATGTATAAAAAGAGAGCGTTCCAGCAGTGCTTGATTAAAGATTTAACAATGATGATATAAGGAATTAGGTTTCACTTACTTATTATTTTAGTTCCATTGCACAATTTCAACTTAAAGGAAATTTTCGAAGTTACGAAAATTAAATTTTTTATCACTTCATTGGTTTCTTTATCAATTCGTATACCATTGGGATCTCTCACGTATGTACAGAGTTTTTTTTTATTTCATTAAAAAACACTTTGGTCCGCACAAATGCAAGTCTTAAACGCAGCTTTTTCACATTCTCGCCATTTTATTTAACTTTAATTCTGAACACACATACTAGTATACACGAGTGCTTATGTACATATTTCACACATTCTCACTGTAGTACGCACCAATCAAAATCAGACTCAGCTAAACGGCGAGGTGTTAAAGTTCACCGATAATTCTTCCAATGATGTTGAGCGCACATCCAATACAATTACTAGCACAACAATAAGAACAGTTGGTGAGCAAGATGTGCTCGAAAACGGGTATAAAACGGACAAAGCCATTCGCACGCAGCACGCAGACGACAGCAGCACCAGAACAACAATCACGCAGCACATCGCCAAGGGCACATTAAACAACGGCACTGGCCTTAAAGCCAACGCTAAAGCTAAAGGCACCACAACCACTAGCACTCTAACATATACGGTTGCCGCCGGTGGATTAGATAACGGTAGAGAAATTCACACCGCCCACGGCATAGCTGATGCCAGCACGGTCAAATCAGGCGGCTCTATCACCAAGACGGTTGTACAGTCGGACGGCACAGCTGTTACAACGACCACATCCTCAAAAACTTCGTCCGTCAAATATGTTGTAGAGGCTAACGCCACACACGAAAAAATCATAAGGTAAACCGGGTAAGATTGTATATATGTATCACCATATGTACAAGCATATTGGTACATAATAATAAGAAGCATTGAAAATGTTTATAATCTCAAAAAATTTGCTGTATTAGTGCGCCTACTTACCCATCCATCCATTTCGCCAAACGTATGTGTACAATTAACTTATCATCCCAAACTGATTACAAACACTTTCAGATGTTATTCAACCAATATTATTCTCCCAACAGCTCCTAATGTCTATAAAATACCCACCGTCTTGGGTATCAGCAAGGAAGGCCCGATACGTTCAGCACCGGCCTTCACAATGGCCGGTAGACAAAAGCCGCGACTAATCCCAGCATTATTGCTACCCGGTCCCGGTGCATATGATGCTGAATACTCGGTTATGAAATATAAGCCACCTATGTACACAATGCGTGGCAAATTCAAATACCCGAGTGATGAGCACAATAAACCAGGACCGGGCGCACACTGTCCCGAGAAGGTAAATAATTCTCATATAATTTACAATCACATATTTTCATACTCGTACTGGCACACATGCATATTTATCTAACAATTTTAAATGTTCTCAAATTGGCAACAGTATCAGTTGTACAAAACAAGTCCAGCACCGTCATTTTCAATTCATCACAGCCCATTTTTGGGTCAAAGAAAATCTTATATCATACCACATCTCACTCGTGCATGCCTAGTTCCATAGCCTGCGGTGAGAAAATATTCAAGATTTCTATTTAGCCATGGAACTATTGAGATCTATTATTTTTCAATGCGAACGATTTCATACACATTTTACTTTAATTGGCCAGTCGGAATATACAAAAAATTTTAAGCAAGTCACATTATAGTTCTGCAAGTATTTTAATGATTATTTATCTCTTACTGCATTTAATAATAGACATATGTGACTGTGTGTATATCATCTATACATTTCAGGTTAATCTCTCACATGTTCCAGCCTACAGTTTTGGCATAAAACACTCGCCCTACATCGGACAAATACATGAAAAATGTGAATACGGTTTCTCCGGAATATGTTGAAGGCGCTTCCACTTTGCCGATTATCAAAACTCCAAGACGGTTTAGTTAAGTTATAACTTCAATATATTAATACTACACATACATACATAAATACATATTTAAACTAACAAGGGACCTACATGTGTTGATCTATGAATGATCTGACTAATTTTTACTAAACTGGAATTGTGCAAACATTGTAAAACGTTAATAAAATTTGTAAAGCATAATAAAATGGATAAATTCGATTGAAAATTGATTCGAATTCATCCCTGAGGAATACAAACGGTAAAGTACACCCTTTGGAAGTACTGCGAAGCATAGATAGATAGATAGATTACTTTTGAGGTATGCACCGCGACCTATTATGCCCTCCCCTAAGTCATATCGAATCATCTAGCCCCAGCATGTTGATAAACTCCTGCGTCTGTAGACTGCTGTGCAGTTCATTAGCAGCTGTTCTGGGGTTTCCGGCTCCATGTCACAGAACCGGCAGTTTGCAGAGGAGGCTAAGCCCATGTTGAAGAGATGCTTCTTGAGCCTGCAATGGTCGGTGTAAAACGCGACAAGCAGCCTGAATTTGTTCCTCTGGAGATTGATTACGACTTTAAACCGTTTGCGGTCGTGACCCCCCATTATCAACCTGTCATGGCGCATGCCTTGAAGTTGTTGCCTATGTCTCTCCCTGCCTGCTCTTTCTTCCATACGGAGCAGCTCTTTAATAGTAAGCCAAGCGGGCCAACTCGTCAGCCAGTTTGTTCCCGGCTATAACCCTGTGGCCAGGCACCAATAAGGTGCACTCGGTTGTGGTCTGATAGGCTGGTCAGCCGTTCTATACACTCCTGCACTAGAAGCGATCTGACCCCATAGGCAGAGATCGCTTTTAGTGCCGCCTGATTATCGCTTAGTATAGCAATACTTTTATTGTGATAGTTGCGTTGGAGGTTTATCTCTACACACCGATTTATAGCATAGACCTCGGCTTGGGAAATGCTTGAAAAACTTCCCGTGGGAATGGAGAGTTTGGTGCTTGCCCCAGCGACTCCTGCACCAATCCCCTCCGCCGTTTTCGAGCCGTCGGTGTACCACTTGATAGTGCTTTCCCTTAGCAGCAGGTCCAGCGATGAATCATTCCATTCTGCCTTGCTGCCAAGGGTAACTTTGAACTTCTTAGTGAAGCTTATTACTTTGGTAATGATGTCCCTTGGGAGAAGGGCCAGTGGCATTTCCTCATTTAGCGCCTTCATCTGCTGGGACGAGATTACCTTCCCTCTGCCAACTCCCTCTGCTGTCATTTGGAGGAGAGTCTGTTTGGCTGTCTGTTTGATTACCATATGCAGCGGTGTAAGTTCCAGCATTACTTCCAGTGCTGCAGGTCTTACGATCATGGTCTTACGATCATGGTGTACATCCACCTGATGGTCCTTGGGGAGCTCCCCCAAGATTTCCCAGCTAGTCGGTTGCACACCATGAGTGCTTTCGTAGCCTTGGTTAGGGTCAAGTCCACCGTAGAGTGGTCACCTAGTAAACCCGGTTCGTACGCCAGTGATCGCCAAAATGTGACACGTGCACCTATCAAGGTGCATTTTCGCCGATTGCCACACTCCTGATGACCATAACAGATAGCATCTACAAGGTGATACAAAGCGTTTGAGCCACCTAGTGGGCGTACTCCGGTCGCCAGAGGGTGCTGAAGTGGAAAAGCCATATGCGCACATTCAAAATCGATCATGGTGAAATCTAGACGAATATCGCGTTCCTGATGGTGCTAGGCGAATAATTGCTAGTGATAATGGAAGTATATGAAATCCTTTCAAGCCATCCGAAGCGTTTAAACCACTTAGCGAACGCATCCCGTTAGTTGGTAACCATGGTGTATGAGCGTACTAAAAGTGACCATTCACAGTAAGAGTCGTTTATTTAACATTTCCTGTCCCTATCTATATTTTCTGCAATAAGCTCTATGTGGCTACGTTGTGAAAAGTGTACGGCGAAATCACATGTTATAGTTGCCAACTTTCTTTTAAACATACTTTTTTCTACGCACAGAAACCATTGGCGGTTATATGGTATTTACTAATATTATATAATTATATATCACATTTAATGTATATCTATATTTATTGAAATTGATATGATACAAAAAGATTTTCTTTTTGATTTCTTTTGAGGGTCGATTGTTGGCAACACTACCGTAAATAATGAATTTGCCTTGGTACTGTTGCTGTCTCAATTTTAAACGTATTATAAGAAATACGATATATATTTATGCATAGTTGCCAACTTCATGCTTTTTTTTAATTTGAACGCCAAAAAATAGATGATTTAGTGCCTTTGCAGTGCTCTTTTTAACTCATAGATAGTGATCAACATATGACTTGTACATCATTTGTATATTTTTTTACTTTTGGTAAATACAAGCAAGTTTTAAAAAAAATTTAGATTGATTTGATGCATGTGCTTTTTGACAAAAAAACACCTTTGTTGGCGTTTTTGAAATTTAAAAGGTGGCAACTATATGTTTATGTGAGGTATTTCTGAACAACAAGGAAAGAAGTACAAAGGTAAACCCAAACGTGATATAATAAAAATTTCAAGTGTCTAAAGCACATTCATAAACAATTTTGCAGACGAAGAAGACGTGTTTATAATTTAATAATTATTAAAAAAAATAATTTAAATATTAAGTACATTCCATGCCTTTCGAATAGTGTTACATCGGCTTTGCAAATATTTATTATATGCAGTAAAAATATAGATGCAAATGAAGAATAATAGATCATTATCGCCTGCAAATGTGAAAAGTGAGTGTGGCTGTGAAGAGAACTTATAACGGAATTTTACTTTCGGCACATCACTCAAACAATTTTATCTAAATATTAGAGAACTTACAACATGACTTAGATATATCGGACCAAAGCTTTCGGCTAACCACATACGGTTTTTTTTAATAAATGCGATAACTTCATACCCAACTAACAAATTTTTTCCTTTGGTGTAGAAAGTAATGAGCCAATATTAAAATAGGCGGAATCGTATAATAAAAAGATTATAAACAACAAAATTTTTTAAATATAAATTAATAATATATTTGAGTGAAATCATTTAATACGGGAAATACCTATTAAGCATTACAAAATGTCGAAGCCAAACCCAGTAGTGAAGTGTATAGCGAGTGATAACAAAAATACAAATATTACAGACGAGAGTGGTACAAGTGTTTCAACCATTTTAGCGGCTAACGTAGATAATAAACACATTCCGGGGAAAAATGAGTTTTTAGAAAACATTGATATTGAGGATCCATCTCAAGGGACAGATTCGGGCTTTTTGTCTGGTCCTCAAAGCTCTTTTCAAGAAGAGCAGGAGGGAGAAAAATATAGCTCCAATGGAAACGATGCAAACAACCTCAACAGATCCAAATCAAATATTATTGCAAGAGAACGTCACGTCAAAAACATTACCGGAATTTCCCAACCACACGATAAAAGTCAAGGGAATATATTTGTTGTTGATTCGGGTTGCATAGAAGAAGAAGAATACGAAGAGTTCAACGATTCAGATACCAAATCGGACCGCGACTTAACTACCAAACAAACACTGCATAGTAAACCACAGTCTGCAATTGCTGCAACCAAGAATTCGAATTTAAGCGAAGAAATGAGACTCAAACATGATGTAGAAAGTCATATATCGGAAAGGTTTTGCAATCTAAGTTTAGAAAGTGGAACTGCAAATAATTTAAATGCTGCTGATAGAATTCCAACCGTGCAATCGACAGCGACATCAAATAAATCGTTAGGATTGTCTCAACTGCCTGTAGGAGAACAAATTTTTCAACAAAATGATGATGGAGACACGTAAGAAATTTTTCGGATATTAAAAAAATTACACCTAGATTTCTATATAATTCGAAATGTTTGGTAAAATTAGTAATATATTTGGTCATTGTATTGTCATTGTCTTTGCAGTTACCTTCATTTGGCATGCATATCTGGACAAGATAGTTTAGTAGCTGCCCTTATCCCACTAGCTATGCAACAATGGCTTCTGAACATAAAAAATGATTATGAACAAACCCCGCTGCACTTGGCAGCGCTTTATAGCCATAAAACCATTATGCGTATGCTATTACTTGCTGGCGCCGAGGTAAGCAGATACAAACTACTAGTGAATAAATAAATTATGATGATCAAACAACTGTTAATCAATATATAAATAGAGTATATAGTGAAATGACTAAATAAGCATACTCCATTTTATATATTATATATGTATGTATGTATTTCCAGCCGAATATACGAGATTGCGATGGAAACACAGCATTGCATATTGCTTGTGAAAACGGAGATGAACAAAGTGTTACTGCTTTAACAACACCATTTAGCGCCCTAGAAGTCAATGCTGCATATCAACAATATGGATACGCTCAGAGTAAACTTGTAAACAATTTTGAAATCAGAAATTATGACGGTAAGTACAATCCCTCATCGTATAAATACATACATATTTATCCTTAAATTCATTTTAATTTATGGCTAAATTAAAGTCATCTACATTTTTTATTTTTATTTTTTGTCTCGTATTTTCCTTATGTTATTTATAAAACAGTTTTGTTGCCAAATTTAAAATATTCTGAATATTCGCATAGACATGCCGGCCTTTCGGCTAGCCTGTGATACAGACGCTCAGAAATGGACCAATTTTTTTTAAATTATTTATAGCCATCATCATCAATTATAATATAATATATGTATATGTATGTAGATTCAAATGTACGTCTACGTTGTTGCGCAAATTAATGCAGAATATGTGCACGTAGGTATGTATGCATGCCATAGATACATGAATGTATTCGGATATATCTAATTGAAAACTGGTATACATATACACATCATATTACATACATATATCTTTTCAAAATCAAATTAATGCCTACGACATCAAATCATAGGACTACAAAGACGATTTTAAACTTTTTTGTTTCGTGAACATTATTATGTCACATCATAATATGATAAAAATATGTACATAGATATGTTTGTAGTATGTTTAGAACAAATTCGCCAAAGTAGAAAAGAATATTGGGTGTTATATTTGAATTTAAGTATATATGTACATGTGTACAAAATCTGCTATGAAACAAGCATTTATGGCTTTGGCTATGGAGGTATTATATTTTGCCGAAGCACTGTAAACATCGCCTGTTCAATCTGGTTAAGTATAATCTTTCGGGGTTTTCCCCAACAACAACGCAAACGACAACAAAACGATCGACACGAAAATCGGCACAAAACGTTTCTGCAAAAGCAGAGCGAAATATATGCGTATGTATGTCTGTATGTATGTCTAGCTGTGTTTGGGTGTGTACATGCATTTATACAAAATAACCGTGAATACATGGATGTATGCGCCTGGGAAACTACACATGGACATAAATGAAAATATTTACTTATATTCATAAATATACTATGTACATATGTATATTCATGTACACGTAAAAGCCCAAGTCCACTCAAATATAAAAATCGTACATATGTATGTTACAATGAACTTATGTAACTTCCCTACTGGTTGTCCCACGATCAGGAATTTCAATTTAAAATTCCTCCGTCGTTTTCTCTTTATTTTAAAGGAAAACACCAAAGAGTCACAATTTCCTCTTACTATGGATTTTCTCAGAATATTTATTATAATAATATCTTAGTTTGCTTCAATGTTTTAGTTGTATTGTTTTACAGATGTTACATTGAAAATAAGTAATTTCAAGTTCGGTTTGGTTTATCCACATCATGATGTGTGAAGAAAAAACCCAATTTAAAAATGTTTGTTATATGTATGTATGTATGAATGCGTAGTTGCGATGCCACTGACTTGTATTCTCATTTGGTTGGTTATCTATTTGCCATTCAGTCGGCTTGGTGCGAATGTGTTGTATTTGAATTGGGCTGATATGAACGGGTTTTAACAATTTTATACCAAGCGTACAAGGCATTAATAAGGTTAACTGACAATTAGAAAGCTTTTTACTACTGCACTTTACTTTTTTCAACACTCGTGTGTATTAAGAGTTATTTACACTACCTTCATACATATGTACATTTAAATAAGTGACAAGCATGGAACATGTGAAACATTTATTGGGATTAACGCGCATTGATCATTGGCCAAAAATTGTTTACACAATTGCGTTTAGGGTTTTTGGTGTACGCGCTAGTTTTTCAGCACGGTTTCGACTCGTCATCATTTCTACTTTATGTATAACCACGACTGGGGTTTTCTGTTATTTCACCTGCTTTACGCAAGTGTGTATGCTTTTTAATAGTTTTCTCCACAATCGTCACAATCGCTGCATTGTTGAGTGACAAACCTTTTATTTATTTTCATTCGTTGTGAATAGCCGGTAAAACCATGTTTTATTTGCAGTCGGTGAGCGAGCAAAAGCTGCACCTCCTAATAAAAAGCATTCGACAAGTAGCTTTGTACTCTGGACATTCCACAATTGTGCCCTAAAGATTTTGTAAAATTTGTTAGCTTCTTCATACGAAAAACCTAAATTTATAGGTTAATTAATAGAAACAAACTACAAAACGACCCACTCGCTTACAGGTACAAATTAGGTCGTACATAAATATTTGCGTAACCACAAATGTGGATACATTGAACTTTTGTTTGATTTGTCGATCTTCATGAATATGCCTAGGGTGTGGACTTACAGACTATTCATATTGTCGGATATAAGGTTAGCCATGGCATTTCCCGTTGTATGTTTCACATTAACACGAATTACTCAGTTTTGTGATTTTGTATGAGTAATAATTGTGTAGGCATAATTTTTAAAAATCTAACAGCATATTCCACACATGTACATACATTGAAAAGTTATGTTGAAGGATAATTAGATTTTGCAGGTTATCTACAGATGACAACGTCGATGCCAAATTTTTCACCATTGTGTTCTTTACTAGCTGTTATGGTCTCGTCATCATATGACGATGATTCTCGTCATTGTTGCTGATATTGCTTTGTGTTCGCTTTGGTTAATTTTAACGCTTTGACGAACTTATCCGACATTTCTGTTTACAAAAGCAAAGTTGATTTCTTGTTTACCACATTATGGGAATTTGCCGGGTTTTTCTAAACGCATGCATATGGGTCGTCAAGCAAATATATACATTCGCTCGGCGTCATTGCTCGGTTATCATGATTCGAGCTAACAGTAATGCTATCGCATACATTTGTGGGAGTGATTGCTGTTGAGATACTTCAAATTCATACTCACGTATAATAGTGGTAATTTTTTTTATCATAACATTTAGATTGCTTAGATTATTTATCGTAGAAATAATAATTTTCCCAATGATACTTGATATACCATATGATATACATACATATGTTTAGTCTTAGACCGTGCATATTATGTTGTACAAATTGATATAAATATGGTTTGCTTTGTCTTTCTTTTAGGCGAATATTGTGTTCATTTAGCTGCCGAGATGGGTAATCTTCAAATACTAAGATCTTTGGTGCAATCTGGAGCGGATATCAATGCCAGAGTAAGACTTTTATAAGGATTGTAATCTAATCAAACTGTAAATTCTAATAAATATATTTTAACGTGTGCAGGAAGGAAAAGGTGGATACACACCACTACATATCTCGGTCGAAAGGAACAATGAGGAACTATTAAACTTCCTATTACTTTATTGCAAGCCCAAACTGAACTTGGAAGCAACTACTTTCGGACGACGAACTGCATATCAATTGGCATGCATTTCGAATAGATCACAAATGCAACTCATTTTGGAAAAGCATGGCGCAAAACAACTACCGCCGCCAGATGAAGATGAAAGCAGTGACGATGAAAGCAGTGACGATGAATAAGAATAAATAACTGCCTTTTCTATTCTTCCAAAAGTTCTATGTTTTAATAGAACAATTAAAATAAAATATATTGACACCCATACAAACATACATACATGCATTCATACATATGTACATATATACATTGATGTGATCATAGAAATATTATTAGAGAAACAAAAATCGATTTATCTTGTTCAATATATGTATGTAGTTATTTTCTAGTCGATTAAGAGGTAATTTGATAATGCAATGGGTGATAGCGCGTTTTTGTAGGAGCGTTGAAACCATTTGATAAAATGTGTCAAGTGGTTAATGCTCACAACTTTATTTTTTGATTTGTGTTCTATGAAGTGACCTTCTGAATTAAAATATATGAAAAATAAAGACTAATGCACTGAAACAATAACTTTAATACGACTCACATTGGATATTTATAACATTATAAATGTGTTTAATTTCTAATTATTTTATGTGGCGTATATTTACCAATTTTAGAATCTGACTGACTTAAATTAAATTGAACTATGAAATGCAATAAACAAATTGAAAACTGACAAATTTACATTATTTACTGATGTAGGAATAGTGAAACATTTTTTAATGTAAAAAACTAACACCTAGATCTTGGGTATTATTTTATTTTGAATAGGAATGATAAAAAGGTATGTACCAGCAAGTTATTACCTATTAGTAAAGTTATCATGCTGAACATTTGTGGTGTATTTTGTGTCTTCCGACTAATGAAAGTTTTACAAGTTATTTTTTCAAGCTGTCCCATATACATATAGAAAATATATATTTGACTTGAGTGCCAATTGGTTTTATTTAGAATATATACTGAATAATTTAAGAACATACAACCCTCCCTAACCTAGTAGAATTGAGTTCTTCGTATTACGGTAGCTTATATAATATATATCAAGACTTGAGTCCGACCAATTAATGCACTTATGATCTGCATGCATAACACATGAGACTCATCTAACCTCTTCTTTTAACACAACTCGTTTTTGGAACCAACAGATAGACTATAGCATTGACATATATTTTCACAACAACACTATTCAAATGCGCGTTTACTAAACAGAACCAGAGTACAAACCCCAATCCGAGATGTTGATCTAATATTGTCCATTCCGGCAAGCACAACTAGGCGAAGCTTGGCCAAGCGTCAACTAAGACGTAAATGCCAATTATATACTATCCAACACGATTTGTATAACTACAACTGCATGGTTTAACAACATGATACTTCGAGGTCTAGTTTTAATGACTAAGGATTACCTGGCATGTATTGGAATAAGTTAATGACAGCAGTTGATCTTAAGTGCGGAAACAAAACTCAACGTAAGGAATATTTTGCGGGAAATATGTTGCAATAAATTATAAAAACTTTATGCTTAATTATGGTTTCATGTACTTACCGATCAAATTATGCCAATTAATTCGGCATATCACTTTCAAAAACAACTTCTACACTTTGTAGAGAAAAGAGTTCAAAAGAAACGTTATAAAATCATAAAAATTAATCCATTCACATATACAAAGGTATTCAATACTAAGCTTTCTAAACGTATTATTAAATACAATTACACCAATATTATTTGAAATTTCAATACTTTAAGCAACCGTCAGATGTAAAAATTAGAACTGGCAGTACTAATCGGAACGTTGTCACAATTTGTAGTAGAGCATTATGTACTAGATTGAAATCAAAATGGCGACCAAGCAACAGGCAATGTTGTCATTTTTGCCAGTTTTAACGAGAAAGCGAAGTAATCAACACACATTATGTGAGAGAGGTTGGCAGCAAGTGTTAAAATATAAGTTATTTAAATACATGAAAAGAAAGTATATATTTGTTTAGCCAAAGAATAATAAATTGAAGACAACAATTAAACTAATTTGGGCTTCTAGCGTACATAAACATTTCCGTATAGGAATAAGTAAAACAGCCGTTGATAGAAAATAAAAAAACATTTAATAAAACGCTAATTGAAGCAGTGAAAAAAGGTTCGTGTGAAGAAAGATGTAGTAAATATTTATATACATATGTAAATGCATTAAGCACATAAAAATAAATGAACAACAAAAACATGATTTGTGTAGTTCTTATACTGAAATTCTAAAGTGATTATAAATAAGTGAAAAACCCATCAAAGTACTTATTTTAAACTTTGCTTATTTCTAAAAAAATGTATTATTCATTGATTTTAAAATAAGGCTGTAAAACGTGTGATCCTTTAAAACTTTGTGTTGGGAAATATTGAATTCGTTTTTCATTCCAATACGAATGGAATGATTATATTTTGGCATCATATGTACAAACCTAAAATTATTGCAGTATTACCTTAATTCCTTGTTTACAGAAAGATCACTATAATTTTCCTTGCGTTTGAAACCTTTAGTTATATGTAATTCTTAATTTAGTGTTTTTAGTTTAGTAAAAGGTTTTTAATATAGGGCTTAGAATAATATTATTATTAAAATATATAATAATAATTCAAATTTAATTTCTATACTTTTAGAATTCTTTGGTCGAACGCAATGAATTTTCTTGCTATTAAAAGAAGTAAACTATTTGAGACAAGCATATGTGAATGAATAATATTTTTTAAAAGTGTAAATAACAATAAAAACAGTTTTAGTGAAAATTTATATTGGCAATTATATTTAAATAAAACTATAAAATGTCGAATAAAAATACTGCGGAATCTAAAAGTGTAAATAAGAACACCGACGAAGAAAGTGGTCATAAGAAAGAGGTTTCAGGAAATATAGACTACGATTTGGCACACGGTACGGATTCGGGGTTTCTTTCAGGACCCCAAAATTCTTTCTTCGAAGAACATGAAGAATCAAAACATAGTTCTGCTGAAAACATTAGTAACAGTTTTAATTCGCAAAATCCCAATATTAATAAATCAGTACATAAAGATGGTAATTATGCTAATATTAGCGATCATTGTCAAAAAGCTGCAGAGGAATTATGTATTGTTGATTCTGGCTGCATTGAGGAAGAAGAATGTGAATCCAACGATTTGCATGCCGACATTGTACAGCCCAATACAAGATCTCGACCACAAGTAATCAACTCTCCAAACCAAACCAGTGTATCTGAAGTTACAAGTTCACAAGATAATAAAATGAAATCAAAGCAAGATGTTGATGCTCATATTTCGGAACACTTTTGTAATCTTAGTTTACAACACGGTACAATAAATAATTTGGGCGCGTCTTGCAAAGATTCTACCGTGGACCCTGAACCAGCGATAACAACAAAGTCATCGACTGAACTCAATCAATTGCCAGCGTGGGAACAATACTACCAACAAAATGATGAAGGAGATACGTAAGTTCTTAGATATAAAAAATACAAAGTTTCTATTCCCATAATAATGTTGGAATTGATGGAAAAAAATTAGCGAAAAAAATTTTCAAAGCACCGGGCTGTGGGCTGTCCTGAAAACCCTGGGGGGAATAGTCCCCTATGGGTTTAAATTAAAATTTAATTTGTTAAACTTTTTCAATAAAATATCACGGTTTCTTACTCATTTATTCTTAAAATAATTTTTTATTCAGCTATCTTCATTTGGCTTGCATATCGGGGTACGACAATGTGGTAGCTGCCCTTTTCCGCCTCGCTATACATCCTTGTCTGTTGGACATAAAAAACGATTACGGACAAACTCCCTTACATCTAGCTGCACTAACAAAACAAAGAAAAATCATGCGCATGCTATTGCTTGCCGGTGCCAAGGTATGTTTGACTACGGAAATTTATTATATGTTTGCAATATTACATTTGAATTAAGTATATGATTTTGTAAATATGGACTCTATTCAATATTTGCAGCCAACCATACGCGACAACAACGGAAACACAGCCTTACATATTGCTTGCATGTCTGGTGATGAGCAATGTGTGAATGCTTTAACAGTTCCATTTAGTGCTTCAGAGATCAATGAAGCTCATCGTCAATTTGGTTACAGATCCAATGATAAGCGAGTTTCTTCCCTTAGTTATGAATGTTTACCCACAGGTTTGGAAATTCGCAATTACAATGGTAAGTTATTTATTTAACTCTTGTTTTCCAAATTTAGAACCATTTTTTGACTACAGTTGCTACAGATATTTGAATATAGTAGTTTATTAAAAGTATACACTTACAGTAAAATCAAATAAATATTTCCGGGTGAAAGGCAAATTATTTTAGTACGATTATTTGCTTGGTAAATAAAAATTTCCAAAAATATAAAAATTTGGCGACTGGCTGTGTTTCTCGGCTAGACAAGTGCGAAGACGGCATAACGGTAACGCAAATAAGAAATTCTCAGCATACATAGATAAATTATTTATAGACGTAATATTTCGCTAGGGGATAATATACTCATGTTTATGTGTGTATGTACATATTATGTGTTTTAAAATTAAACAGCCGTGGAAGCTATTGCCTTGAACAAATTTTACGTAAACATACATCATTTCATTGACTTACACATGTGTATGAATTTATGCATATACAGAATAGACTTGAATACATAAATATGCACTTACATTTAATGTAAGTATATATATTTCTTAATTTTTTTTTTTTCATAGAATTGATACATACATATATATCTAATTACATATGAAAGAGAGAAGTATAAAAAATATTTATATTCAATGCGGCATTTCAGAACTCCGTAGATTTTTTGGCACATGCCAAAAGTGCTGACGTCAATAACAGTTCTTCCGAAGGAATATTTTAATTTTTGCACCCATCAATCGTAGAGTTTTTGTAAAGGCTGTAAATAATTGTGCCAACTCCGGTATGGGAAACAAAAATAAACTCATTAAATTATGTATGTTTGTATGTAAATATGTATGGATTAAATATTTGGTTGACTCAGGTATTAGCTTGTTTTAGGTAAACCTGTTACATTATACACATCTATGTATATGTATGTCTGCACCAATAATGCCGTTAATGTATTGATCGGTCAAGTGGAGCTATAAATAGTAGAAGCCTTCAGTGTGGATACAAGGTACATTGGTATATATTCATTCAGTATGTATGTATACATATCCATACATAAATTTTTTCTTACATTTATAGTATGATTATTATTGTAGCTAGAAGCAATGTCTATGTGTTAGAGCGACGGTTATAAAAACATAATGTTATTCTTTGAAAAAAAAAACACGAAAATTTGTGTACACTTATTTTTTTTATGTACTTTACCACAGCTGCCGAAGTATTTTAACCATACAAATATTAAAATAAAATCAGAAAATCCAATCCGACTGTTGAATACATCGATTCCACCTTTGCGTCATTAAATCTTAATGCAATATACATGTATTTATGTACATACATATGCGTTTTTTTAAAGAATAAATCCGGTAAAAGGCGAGCAAAACAAGCAAACTTCAACACCGCAAGCTAAACGAAAGTTTGTTTCTTGTTTATTTGTGTACGTATGTATGTTTTTTTTCACGTTCTTTGCACAGACGTCAAATTGGCTGACACACAAAATTCTTCGTATATTTCGAGAAACTACCTCATTCGTAAAATTACATACATATGTATGTATATACAGAGATATTATATGTTCGAAAAGTAAAATTGCGCGAACGTTTCAAGGAAAATATTTGTACACCAATTTCTCTATAATAATGCACGTACTTTGATTTTTAAAAGATATTCAAAGTGACGTTTGTATATATGTGTATATGCTTTTTCTACTTGGCTTGGGGCAGGCAGTCATTGTCAACAGGTGTCCAGGTATGCTTGTTTAATCAGCTGCCAACGCACATCCTTTTGTTATTTAAGATGCTCGGGGTGACCTTTCTTTGCTTTTCCGAAACTGTGCTCTCCAATGGGAAGAGGGCCATAGCTATGTTAGTACGAGAGATGTTTTGACTTTGAAAGGACTTTTCTCTTAAACTATTTCGGCTTTTAAGCTGCAAACAGGAGTAACAATATGAGAATCTTATGTATTTTTCGTATTTTTATAAAATTTTTATCAGTAAAACAATTTTGATGTTAACGATTGCAAAAAATTTAAATATTTAATTTTGAGCAGCAAACAAAAACTTGTACATTTGCGTTGGGATCACTTGAAATGTAGTTATCAAGCAGGTACCGTTATTTTTGTCTGGTGCTATTTGCGTATGGTCAAAATATATATAATATTATTTGGTGAGCGAATTAATTTTGTGCGGTTGTACTTTGTATATACAGCTTAGTACTGTCTCCGCGACTGCATTCCCTAAAACAATTTACAGAATGTTAAATGCTGTTGACACAATAACAGATCATATGAAATACAGAAAACCAATTGCATTTACTTGAATGTTTATTTACATACATACATTACTATTATACTATATACTATATTTATATATGTATGTATGATGAACACATGCACCATACATACATAGTTTATAAACTTGTATCCCCATTGGTTAGTATTTTGACCACAATGAAACCAAAGCTCATTGCAGTCGTCGTATTTGATACGGTGCTAAATATAAAACATTTTGGGGTTTTCCCCAACACCAAATAACAAAAGCGTATGGCAACAGCATGATGAGGGCACAATTCCAAACAAACCGATTGTACAGAAGAGAAGCGAAAATGAAGCGAAAATAACAAATAACTGAAATAACACTGAAGAAGCTATACTTTCGAAAGCTGACGTTAAAAGTAACAAGCTTTGAATGAATACGATAATATATTCATACATACTTATGTACATATTATGTGAATAATGAATATACACATAGCGGAAGTATAGATGTAAATCCAAACAGGGTTAAAGAGGATAAAATCCGGGTTAATTCCGGTGTCGTAAAACCGCCGTTGTGGGAATTGCATGGATGTAAGACTTTAGTACTGGTATTTAGCCACAGGATTCTACGCAAACAGAAATATAAAGTTAATTTTTTTGTATGTCGTTAGTCATAGTTATCATAGTCGTAGTGGTAATGCTCTGTTTGTTATTACCATCTGTCATAACAGCTCCTCGATTTGTGTCCAAAATATTTTTGTAAATTGTTCGTGTTCGTTTTGGAAAATACCCACCGATAAATCGTTATCTTTTATGCTTTAGTGATGTCTTACTTCTAATTGTTAGAAGTTTCTTACCGCATTTCAATACTGCTGTTAAGATTACTTGCGAATCATGCGAAAAATTGCATTGATTAGATAAGGGAACAGATGATAATAAATATTTAAGGCGATCCCATCATGCAATGTATTAATACATATACATACATAAGTATGTATGTATGTATGTATATTTATATATAAATATAAATAACTGGAAAAATAAATAATTAAATTTTGGTTACATAATAACTGTATTCAAAATAAAAATTGCTATGTGCATTTTCATTTTACCTCTGACTTACGTTTATATAATCGACTATCTGCTTACTAGGGAGTCTCCAAAAACTATTTTATTCGGTTGCCTTTCATATTATTTGGGTGTCATGAACAGGTTTTACTCTATTTATTTATAGCAAACGTGCAAAACGCCAGCTATGTAGACTTATTGAAAATTAACTTTAAATAGCGAAATATGTTCATAGATTGGCCGAGTATAACGGAATGTTTTTCAAATCGTTTAACATTTATTTTAAAGAATCGCAACAAATCCTTCTAATTTAGAATTGTCGGCATCGACATTGGCATTGGCTACGGAAGTAAACTTCTTAGACATGATCTAACTAAATACTGAAGTTAATAAAGTATGTGAATTTCGAGTAAGTGTATGTGCTATAGAATATTTTCATTTTTATGATGATATGCTGAATTTCTTGAACTCGCTGAAAGAAATCAAAGTAATTTTTTTACTTAATATCGTTTAACCATTTTATTGGTGCACGTGTTACTTTCTCGGCTTCTTCGTCTTGTCTTAGTTTGTTTTATTCGTTTTGAGGTTTATTATAGCGGCATTTCGTTGAAAGTTATCGCTGGGGTTTTTTGTTATTTCACCTGCTTTACGCAAGCGTTTATGCTTTTATTACAGTTGTCTCTACAATCGTCACATAACTGAAGGCATTCACCAATTCACCGTTACATTGTTACTTGTAAGTGCCAAATGCTTTTGTATTTCCTTGCTTTCGAATAGGCGGAAAACCCGCCTTTATTTAGTGTTCGTGCGATCTTAAATACGAAACCGCATTGGCCACAGACGCATCGTACATCGTTCATATACAGCTTGAATATTTTACCCTGCAGTGAAGTTAATTATTTCTTAACTATCTTACAACTAGTTTGAACCTTATACTAGTTAATGAATTAACTACGATTGATTGCAGATAACTAGCAAAAATGTTTATATTTACATATATCGAAATTGTTTTCCGATTGCGTAAAACTTCAAGCTTCTTGTTGTTAACTAATTCTTATCAAGATTGCAGGGGCCATTGGAAGAAGGTAATTGCTTGATTAAGCTTTTATCTCATTGAAAAACCCTACCGTACTAGTGTGTACATACATGTGTATATATGTATATATGTACGTATGTATGTTATGTATTGGGGAATTCATGAAGATCTAAAACTTGGCAGTAACAGTTACTCACTCTTATGTCTTATCTTTAATGCAAAATTGTGTTTGTTTGCTTATAAATGCGTTTGTGGTTGGTAATTCACAGTCCATTCAATTTCTCGGAGATTTACTCGGACTTTAGTTTCCCGACATGCTCCGACAATTCACATGAATCTACATCAATCGACCATTCAAATGTTTTTGATGAGTAATATTTAAGGCAAGATTATAATTTTGACTAAATGTCACACATACAAACATATAAACATATTATTTAGACTATTAATAATATTAAATTATACGAAAACCTCGTGTTTCTCGTTACTTGCAGGAGAAACTGCGCTATAAGGAAATATACATATGTATGTATGTACCATATGTACGTATTCAAAGCAATGTAATATTATTTATTTTTGATGTTTTCAATTACTTGGAATTTGTAGTGCGAATTTTATAAGTAAGAATGTTAGTTCTGTCCTGCGTTATCGCTAAAAAGTATTTCTGAACTTACCAATGCTTAACAGGCTTGTCCTTCATATAAATATTATATGTAGGTACTTTATGCATTATTCTAGCGTGTGTGTTCGTTTTTTTTATACCAGATCAATTACTCATTTCTCATTTGAATTCCTACTGGGTTGCTGTCGCTGTCATATAACGATGATTGTTAGCATTATTGTTTTGTTTTTGGCTTTGTTAATTTTAGCTTTTACGAACTTAACTCACATTTCTGTATGCAAAAGTATTGTTGCTTACTTGTGTACTTTATTGTGGGAATTTCTCGGGTTTTTTCTGAACACACACATAAGCGGCCGATAAGTGCACAGGCACGTTTGTTCGGCGTCATCGTTCGATTGCCATGGTTCACTGCTATCATGTTTATATGAATGTGCATATATATATATATTTATATATATATATATATATGTATGTATGTATGTCATTACTGTGTGGGTTAGTTAAAAATGCTGAAAAGTTTCAGTTCCGTCGTATGACCTCTTCTGTATATATATACATATGTGTATAAAGTAAATTGTATTTATGAATGTACATTTGAAATACTCGTTTCTGTCTTGAAATACCGTTGGCACTTTGTTTAGATTATTTCATTGTCCAAATGACAGCTTAAAAGCACGAACTGCGTACTTAGTTCTGAGCTAAAAGCTTGGTTTGTTAGTGGCGAATCACACACGAAGGATTTTGTTGCCGGGGGTCTCGTAATTTGTCGGCGAGAGGGCGAAGAGTTGTTCATGGTCGAGCAACACGCTTTGTGTTCGTAGCAGAAGCGTATAAGAATTTGAGAATGAGATATGAAAGTAAATTCAGAAAATTGCCCGACTCCAGTTACCGGTAATGAGCAACTAATATTTTCACGTCTGAACTCGCACTTATTGTATCAGCGATATAAGTAAATGAGGTTACCAATCTCTCAACATTCATTCATAAATTAAGTATGGTTTGGTTGGAGCGCCGTGACCCAAAGTCTACGTACATACGCTTACATAAACGTATGTATGTATATATTATATCATAAACAAATGTGTATATCTATATGTATATAAAACAACTTAGTAAAAAATATACTATATGTACTTATATATTTTATGTTCGGTTATATTCGGTTTTAAATTTGCTGGTATAACGAAAACCATTATACATACTTACATATGTGATATATATAAAAGTAATGGGTAATTCGTAAACCGATTTCACACTTTCGACATTAAACCGCAGAATATCCAATATTTTATATTCACTTAGATATCCTACATATTGACCGATATATACGGCATAAAATCAATCGCAGGTTGAACTTTTTTCATTAGCTATTAGTTATAGCTCAACTCGTCTCGTCTTCCAAATCATTTATCTACATACATATATACATACATATAAAAAATTGTATATCTAACTCGATTAGTTTAAGGTCTTTAAAGCAACCGTTAGGTGAACAAAAACTATTACGCTCTGTGCAACATGTTGCGAAAGAATAGAAATAAAATAATTATGTTTTATATATGGAAACATTTGGAGCTTCATTTGATTTGCATCGATCATTTGAATCATAACTTTTTCATGTTTTAACTTTGTAATTAATGTTGCCTCATAGAATATTGAATATTGAATATAAGTATATATTGTATTGCTTTTAGGCGAATATTGTGTTCATTTGGCTGCCGAAGGAGGCCATTTACAAATACTAAAAACTTTAGTACAGTCTGGAGCGGATATTAATGCCAGAGTAAGACTTTTAAATTCCATGTGGAACCATAATAACATAAGTTCTAATAAATGTATTTGAATGTTTGCAGGAAGGAAAAGGTGGATACACACCTCTACATATTTCTATTGAAAAGGGTAATGAGGAGTTATTTAATTTCCTCCTGGATGATTGTAAACCGAACTTGGAAGCAACCACTTTCGGGCGGCTGACTGCATATCAGCTAACATGCATTCTGAAGAGGTCACAAATGCAAAGCAGTTTAGAAAAATATGGCGCAGAGCCATTATCACCACCGGATAGCGAATGTGAAAGCAGCGACGACGAATCGGATTTTGAAGAATCTAAGGTGAGATAGAAATCAAAATTGAAAGGTGATAGCCAATGCAAGATGAATGAAGATCCAAATAATTGATCAGATCAATTCAAATAAGTTAGAAAGAAGAGATACACAAACAAATTTGTGTTCAGCTTTATTAAATCGTACCTCATGTGTAGAAATTATTTTTTATATCAACTAGTAAAAACATGGAAAAAATAAATAAATAATTAAATCTGACTAGAAATGTATACTCGTATATGTAAATTTATATACTTTTGAAGTGACAAAGGTTAAGAAAAGTTTTACTTTTTTTATTATTTTCATTAGTTATGTTAGACTTCTTTGGCTTAGTTTTCCATTTTTATTTTCTGCTTATACTTGCTTTTTAGTTCTGTTACGTTGGAGTTTATTTTATTTTTATTTTCAGAACTATGACAGATTCGTCGACACGGGATACTTCGGAGGCAATGCTATGGCAGTCATGTAAAAACCAAGAACCGCCTCGTTTGGCGTATCTTTTCGTTTAAGGGAGTACCTAAATACACTCGATGTACTTAAGTTTATTAAAAATTTAAGAATACGAATTCATAAATGCCGAACGAAATTAGAAAACTATAAGCATATCTTTACCGTTAAGTAGTTAAAGAATTGGTTTATAAAATCTCGATATTCTAAATAATGTATAAATTAATATAATTTTCATGAACGTATTTTACAATAACTGTGACATGACTGTGGAACTAAATATTTATCATATAGTAAAACATATGAAAAACAACCAATATCTTCGTATAAAGGGACTTAAAATAATAAAATAATAATATATGTATGTATGTATATGTTGCTAACGCAACAATCGAAAACTGAAATGGTTTTAATCTATACTTTTGGGAAGAAACTGATTTCAACGACGCGTCTCCCGATTCTCCTTTGAAGTTGAATTTGGGTCGGGGTTGGTCACAAAATTATGTTACCTCGAAATGTAAGCCACATTATTTACATGTAGTATAAATGCATGCACAATTTTAATTTGATTGTTTTGTTTTTGGAAATTTATTTAGAAATATTTACTTTATTAATGAATAATTATGACATTTCGATGCTTTGAGTATGCTTTCAAGCCCCGAGAGAGTTTCGAGCATATACATAATACTCGTATATATATCGATGCAATGGCGTTGTGCAATGTATGTGAGTGTATTACAAGTATTTAATTTTTAATTTTTTTTCATTTTACTGTGTACTGCCCTAATGCATTTGCCAAGTGCAGCCGATCTCTTCAAAGCCAATAAATAATGGCGATCAGCTGCTATACGTACGAGTATTTATTCGTATTTATCAAAATAGCGTTTTTTTAGATCTGGCGGATACGTAACATAGATGTAATGCTCATTTTGGCCTATGTCATTCTGCATAAATTCATGAATAGATGATGAAGCGCGTAATGAATGCTGAGAGGCGCCACTATTCCGATGATGAGAGGTTAGGGGCCGTGGGTGAGTATTGTAATGCCGTCCTCCTCCCGCAGCCACACTCATGCTCGGTTCGCTATCCAACGTTGTGACGCCGGATGTCCCCAGACCTGCGGTGCTCGCAGACTTTGGTGCACCGCCGGAACTGTTCATCGACTTGCCACCTACAGTTGTAACCGCTGTTGTGGCAATAGGTCTACTTGTATAGTCGCGTCGGTCTAAAATGTCCTGTTGGTAAACGTGACTCTGCGTCGGTACATGTCGATGGTGTGGTGTTCCAGCCATGTCGGCTACCGTTGAAGTGTTCTGCGTATGGGACTCGGTCCTGTATCGTCTTGGACTGTGGCGATAGTCGTATTGAAGTTGTTCGGGGTATAATTCGTGGGCCGACTGTTGGTAATAGTAAGGCTGGCCCGCGTTCTGACGCATGCCACTGTACATACCGGTAGACGTCATTGTCTGGTGCTGCTGCTGCTGTTGCTGGTGCGGGTGTTTTATTGGACCCGATTGCTGATACCGTTGGTATATGTAATCGTGTTGATTTGTATTGATTATCGTCTCCTCGGAACTGAAATAGACAACTTTTGCTTAATCACAAATCATTCAAGAACAGTGTGTTGCTTGACTTAAAATTACATCACTTGTCGTCGCTGATGTGAATACACGCATTAATTACTTACTCAAATAATATCCAAATAATGTAGTAGCAAAAGCATACTCCAGTCGATAACACGAAAATTAGTATTAACGTCAACCCCCAAGGAAATGTGCGGGACTCAAGCGGACCATCCTCCCAATAGCGTTCGCATGATAAATACCAACAAACGGCTCTATTCATTTCCTCTGCAATAGATGTTATACATATATATAGAAATATACTATGTACCAGATTTTAAGTAATTTGGACCAACCTTCCATTTCTTTAAACATCTGATCCGTCATAGTCAACAGAAGACCAGAGATGCAACTGCGAACCAAAGCCTCGCATTGCAATTTCAGCTTGTTAAGTTCTTCGGCCTTGCAACTGGAGCGGGTCTTCTGAATGTTTCCATTATCGTTTTTATGCGTGCTGCTATTGTCAGGTTGATTCGGATTTCCCTCGTCTGTCTCATTGTGATCTTGTTCCTTTGAGCCTTTCTTTTTGGCTTTTTGACTACGGGGGTGTGTTGGCGTTTGTGTATTGGCAGCCTTGTTGTGCTCCGCATTTGTAGAACTTCCTGTTGAATGTTCACCGTCAGCATGTCCCTTTTTCATATTTTTTATTGGTTCATTGGCAATGATGGTTGTCGTCTGCTTGCTCTTTTCAGCAATAATTATATTTTCGACTATATTTTTGGACAGGAAGTTTGATAGGGATTTCGGATGGGTTACCAATTGAGAGTAGGATCTACATACATATATATATATATATATGTATATATAACTTACCAGTGTCCTTAAATTTATTCTGACCAATTTTGTCTTGACATAATTGACGAGTTTGTACTTTAGCCGCTCGTGTACCGCCTATAGATGAAGTCCTACGAGGAAAAAATATAAATTGTAATACTCATAAATTTGAAAACAAATTTATTCATTTTACCTTAGAGGTATTAAACTCAAATATGGCGTATTCGCCTTAGCTAATGCCGAATTCTGACCCAGAGAATCGCCCCAAACTTCAATATCGGTGACGACATGCTGGTCGCTGGTGGTCAAGCTGGATGATTCCTCTGTTTGGAATACTTCGCATCGCATTATATCACAAAAATCCGCCAAGCAGACGGCATCCTCAGCCTAATTAGAGGAATGTAATTATGCAAACGACAATGTTCATATGTATAAAAGCTGTAGTTGTTTTCAAACCTCATTAATGATACTTTTGTGACGCGTCTCAAAGTGTAAGTCCAAAAATCTTTCTTGATAGAAGCTTTTACCACACAGGCGACATGTCCACTGGGTCGGTCGGTCTCGTTTTTTGGCATCTTGGTATGGAGAAAAAACATCACGTAGCGGATGTAACGGGCATTCTAAAGGTAATTTCGCCTAAAAGTAGACAATTTCAGCAAACGTGTTCATACGTTCTACCAAATGGACTTACCGAATATTTATCCAATATGGGTGTCCACTTTGAACGCACTATTTTGCGTACTAAGCGACTGCTATCTTTGGAGCAAAGCAACTTTATTATATGTGTTTGAGGCCATGGTATAAGCAGTAAAAAATAAATTAAAGTTATCTGCAAGAAAAGTGCGGATTAGTAATTAGTCTCTAGTTTAATACAACCAACTTCAACTAACTAAGCTGAAGGCATTAAGATAGTAACTTAAAGTGGTAACTTCTTAAAGTGGTGAGAAGGCAAACTCCAGTTATATAAATAAAAGTAAGGATTATTCCAAAATTATTTCCCCCTGATTGAATTTGGTTTTAGTGTTTGTCTGTTTTTGACACATACATGCATATATGTAAATGATAATACAACATCGGTACGTACATACATAATGCTGAGCCGGTTGTAAGTAATTTTTAGGTCACTGACGGTTGAAAAACAAGAGAAAATCGATAGCCTAGTAGAGGACGCCGCTGCTAGAAATAATAAACTAATAACAGAGCTTGTTGTAGTGTGAAAATGTAGAGGAAAATGTGGAATATGTGTATAATTTACTGCTTCACAGTTTGAGATACTATTCATTTCTATTGTCCATATTTATATATCTATAAATATATCAAATGTATTATATATATCACTTACCTCTATATGAAAATATTTACGCGACATTCATAAGAATAACTTTACAAATTTGGCAGAAAATATGAAATGGTTGAAGCTTTTCAACTAACGGTATAGGTAAACCGTCCAGCTTATAAAAATTAATAGTTTTAAGTAATTTTGGTAACTTTTCAAATGTAATAAGACTTACTCCACTAATGAACCATTTTATAAATATAATCGCTCTTAAATATATTGAACATTTCCCCCGGTTTTATAAAGTCACAACGCGTTTGCCTTGCAAGACGTGCCTTCATGCTCTAGGTAATACTGGTTGTTCGAAATTCGATTATCCTTTTCCTTTACCCTGTAAGTATATATATATTCGTTGTCGGCGGCAGTGTTGCTTCCATTAGAAAATCTACCCTGTCCTGCACTTAGTTTCTGTACTGCCGGAAGCCGTGTTGCATTTAATGTTGACGTTTAAATACGTATGTACCATATATATAAATAATATTAATTTGTTCTCAGATCTAATTTTTTTGTATTATTTACTACTAGCAGGAGGAAATTTTTTGGAATAGGCGAATACTTATTAGGCAACTAGTACACCTCAGAAGTACATACATACATTTGAAGATATTTTGCTACCTTATTAAGCTCGGAAGCTTTTGAGCTGAATTAACTGTGTATGTTTTAAGTACAATTATGTTGAAAAAACGTATATATAGAAGATCGCATTTTTTATTACTTACCATTTTACATTATTAAAACAACCATTTAAACAAAAATGTTATATTTCGTCTCGTGTAGCATCATTTGGTATTTTGTAATAACTTAGAATTTACTTTAATTATTTCAGTTGAAATCTATTTAACCCGACGTTAAAAAATAACTTAATTTTAAAGTTCAAAATATATGTTACAATTTAAATATTACTAGTTCACTTGTCTAAAACAATTTTAGACAAAAAATTCATTAATTAACTAAAAATTATCAGTGAATGCTATTTTCAAATTTCACAGCCCGTTGTAAACCCTGTTAATGGACGTCTGATCAAGTATTTTTTTAAGATCTGAAAAAAGTATATATGTAGTGTATATTATATATATATATATATATGTATATTAGATAGTCGTACAAAATTTTTTGTTTTATACGCCCTTTAATTTAGACTAAAATGTCATTTCCAAAACACACCTTCTTTTTCGGCATCGTTTAACTCTTTTTTTGGAAACTCCACATCGAATGTTATATATAGATTGCCTTGCAAATTATTATTTTCATAATTTGGGATACCTTCACCCTTCTTACGGATGCGTGCACCTGGCCATGTTATTTTTTCCCGAGTAATGCTCACAGCGTGACCATCCAAGTGTGTGATATTCATAGTAAATCCAATAAGCGCATCCTAAATTAGAGAGATATTTATTATAAACAATGTGAATGTATGGTATGTGTCAATATAATTGCAAACCTACCTGTAAACTTATTGTAACGTTCGTGTACAAATCATCACCTTTTCTCTGGAAACTCTTATGCGGAGTTTGCATTATTTTAATTATAAGATCGCCGGGCTCTCCATCCAAGTGGGGCTCACCTTCGGCAACAAAACGTGTTTCTTGCCCATCTACCATACCTGCTTCAACTTCAACTTCTAATGTACGTTCCTCATTGACAAGTTTAACGTTTGGACATTCATCACATACCGTTTGCTGTATCATTTGGAATCGACCGGGACCCAAATTGCGAGTTACCATTTCTTGACGGCAATTACACTTACGTGTACCGGTAGCCGGTTTTAGCACCGGTTTGTTTCGAACAATTTCTACAAAGTTGCCGGAATACAACTCTTCCAAAGTCACATATAAGTTCATTACAATATTGGCTCCGCGAGCAGCTTGATGTTCATGTGGATCACCGTTACCAAAGTGAAAACCAAAATCACCAAAGAAACTAGCGAAAGGGTCTGCTCCATGATCCATCATTCCATCTTTTTTAAGACATTCCTCGCCACATCGATCATATGTTTTTCTTTTGTCCGGATCAGATAGTACTTCATATGCCGCACCCAAATCTTGAAACTTTTCAGAAGCAGAGGGATCATCCTTGTTTTTGTCCGGATGCAGTTCTTTCGCTAGTTTTCGGTATGCTTTCTTAATTTCATTTGTTGAGGCCGACTTTTTTACATTAAGAATTTTATAGAAATCTCGACCCGCAAACGCAACACTCAAGAGGCAAAAAGCAATTTGCACAAGAAAGATAAGTGCTAAGGTTCTCATCGTTGAAATTTTAACTTTTTAAATATATGTCTCACTTATTTAATGTAGTTATTTATTTTCATAATTTAAAAGATCTTATTTAATTCTAATCTTCAAATTTCGCTGGCAAATGTGCGAATTACATTGATACACTAACAATATTTTTGTGTGCGTGTTCGTGGTTAGCGCTGATTGGCTACCACTCTGCTGTCAAAAACGTAGAGATGGTACTAATAACGAATTTAATATCGTAAATTAATAATTGACAAAATTGGCCGAAAGTCTTCATAAATTCAAAAAATTAAAAAATACTCGATTTGCTCAACCATAAAAATAGTATGACAGATAATTAATCCTTACATTATTGTAATAAACTGTATTACGCGTTGGCATTTTAATTTTTTAAAGAAGTAAATGAACTATATGAGTATATACTAAAAATCTTTTCGTGGAGACCGTTTGTTATTACCTACGAATCAATGTCACCATGGTGAATGGTTTATTTTTGTTAGGCGTTTAGTTTTTTTTTATAACTTTTCCGAAAATTATATTTATTTACGAAGGTTTAAGAAGTAATAGTGATCATTGTACAATCTATCTTTGTGAATTGTGCAATGGTTTGTTTAAAAAGAGTAGAATGTGATAAAAATAAGAATTATTGAAGCTATTGTCACCACATATAACAATGGGAATTAATAGATGACAAATTGCAAATCTTGGTTGTTTACCTAATAATGTATGTATATATTATATTAATATAATTAAAGATTGTGGGACCTATGCATGTATAAGTGAATTTATCTTCAATACCTAGGTTGCAACAATAGCCAAGTTGCTATTTGAAATCAAATATTTTCTTGAATTCATAATAAAATCAAGTGTATGTAGAAACAGTGAAAATATAGTGGAGTCGAGATTATTAGAAAACCTACTTCTGAGTCATCCTTGCTTCTGATGTAGTCTAGCTTTTAAAGAGATTAGAGCACTGCACGTAAGTTCATCTAATTAGTCATAGTTAACCGTTCGTAATGTTACGTTTTGAAAAGTTAATCGAAACAGAATTTATTAAAATGCCTCTTAGAACTACTTTTGAGTTATCTATTTACGTAGTTTTCTTGTGGATAATGAATTATCGGAATTTCACAGCAGTAGTTATTTAGTTTCATATGCTATATGTCTTTGTCCGCAAAAATTAATGATTTTCTAACGGTATGTGTGTGCGTATATGTGTTATGTACTAGCTTTTTCCCTTCGAGACTAATATAATATAAACGTTATAAATATGTATGGCGTTGTTAAACAAATTTAAATGCACACACATTTATATATAAACTTGAACTCAAAGCGATACATACATTTGTAGTTGAAACAACTACTAGAATCAATGTGCTGACGGTTACCATATTAGAACGGACTTGATTTTATATCCGGACGAAGGCTGTCAAATCGCCAACATTTCCTCTAATTTATTTGTGGATTAGTTTCTGCCGCTATTACTACAACAGTATTGTGTTCACATAAGCTATTCCCTTCTCCTCAAAAAGTATTTATTTCTATTTCTTAGGACTCCAATTCATATAAACCGATAAAAATGTACGAATGTATATTCACACATAGATAGATAGATCTATCTATATATCTCTATATCTTATAGATCTATCTATCTATCTATGTCGTATGAAAATTCTTTGAATGTTGCAAAAATACTAAAAAAAACAAAAAAATACGTAAACTTCGGCCCTAAAAGTGTACAAAAATATCTTTGGCTTGATTTTGATCCCTTAGTTTGTTTGAAGCGATATCCTATAATGGTCCGATATCGGCGGTTTCGATAAATGAGTACCATCTTGAGGAGGAAAGAACGTGTGCAAACTTCCAGATCGATATCTCAAAAACTGAGGTAGTTCGCGTATATGCAGACAGACGGACATGGATAAATTGACTCAGCTTGTCACGGTGATCATTTATATATACCCTTTATAGGATTTTCTTATGGGTGTTACTAACTCCATGGCAAACGTTATATACCCCGTTCTGGGTATAATTATATGTTGTATTATTATTAAGTGAAGTTTTATAACAATATATCTAAATATATATAAAAGAGAACCACAAATATGGTATATATATATATTTGCATCTACATATATATGTATGTCGTATTCAATCAATTCCACCAATGAGCCTATCAAAGTTTAAAAAATATATGCAGTATTTCATATTGAATGGTCACAATAACAATTGTTTCAATATTATCTAAAATACCAATTCTTAATGCCGTTCGAAGCGACTACTATTGCGTCTCGGTATAAACAGTTTGAAGTCTATAATTAGCGATAACGCCGTATCTGTAGGCTTTTGATTAGATGTTAAATGTAATTGGATTCGAGGGAGGCACTTATAAAAGAGATTAGTTGTTAAATGCAGTTTAGTTTTCATTTTAATCTACTTTGAATGTGAATTGTTGCAATCGGCAACAGTTAACTGCACATATTCGCAACATATATATATATATATAGACATACTGAAATACTGCTGAATTGTTCATTAGGTATGTCGGTAAATAGCACAATAGTCTACACAAACTTGTTTTTAAAGTTGATTGTGCAACTGGGTAATTTACTCGGAGAATAACTACTTAAAAATTTACCAAACTCGTTCTATAAAGTATAGTATAAAATATTTTCGTTCTGTGTTGTTTGTATGACATCTCGTTCGTCTTTTAAGATATAAGATTTAGGACGTCTTTATGTTGAAAGCGTGGCTGGTTAAGTCGGAAACTTTCGTCGGGTGCGACGATTGCTACTAAAATCATTATCTGACGTGGATTAGTATCGAAATCTTTTGAATGTAAGGGACGCGCAGTTGTTCTGTGACTTACGCAGATAACGGACGCCACTTTTTTTGCCTTATCCGCCGAAGGCTACAGACCATCTAATACCTCTTTTCCTACTGCCTGCCCTGTGGAACGAAAGTCGAATATTTCAAAAAGTCAGTTCAATTTCCGAAGTATATAATATACAAATGCGAGTATATTCACATTACGTACATATATATAAATATGTGTACAAGTGGATACAATGATAATTAGCGATTGGACATATGCATAAACTTAGTATGTATGCATGTGTGTACTACGCCCGGTTAAAGTTCATATGCGAACTGAACATGGCTTTGTTTTCAACTTCTGAAATGTCTTATCGCTCTTTAGTTGCTTCACATTTAGCAAAATGCGTTTTGTTAACCCATAATACAATTATTAAAACTTTATTGAAATCACTCGAAAAACAAATATTTGTCCTCACTACTACTCACACACTAAATCCATCGGATAATCGTATTTTTCCGAATCGGTTGACACTCCAATATTTTAATATGCCAATTCATATGCATATACCATATGTAGCTACTTCTTTACCATTTAAAAATTTACTTAAAACTTAATAAAAAATTTTATAACTTTTTTGCAGTAAGAGCCAAAGCTGAGTAGGCACACTCTGAAATTTTCTCTTCACTTGACGAAATAAAACTATTGCATGTGAACATATTTTAATTTTAAGTCTGCGAGTTCTAGTTTAAAGAAAATTAAAAAAAAGAAAAAAGATGTGTTGTGAAGCTTGTAGCGTCACTCAGCGGAAAGCATGGGTTTTTGGCTTTGGCACTTTCTTCACCGCTATCGGCATCGCTCTGCTTATATTTTGGAAGGACATCGCTGATAATATTATGAAAAAGGTTAGTATGCATTTTAAAAGATAAAAAACAAAACGAATTAATATAATTGATGTTTTGAAATATTTTCAGAATTTGGTAATTAAAGTTGGTTCAGAAGGCTATAACAATTGGGTGGAAGCACCCATTCCAATTTATTTGGAATTTCATTTGTTTAACTGGAGTAATCCTGAAGAGATAAGAAACCCGAACGTCAAACCCCATTTTGTGGAAATGGGACCATATGTTTTTCTTGAGAAGCACTTGAAACAAAATATTACGTTTTTCGAAAACAATACAGTGTCGTACTTTCAAAAACGAACCTGGTTTTTCGATGAGCAGCGATCTGGCGGTTCTTTGGATGACATGGTGACAGCTGCTCATGTGATTACAGCGGTAAGTGGAAGGAAAACTAGTTGGTGATAGCAATTCTAGGTAAATTGGTTTTCTTTTTGGTAGACTGTTGCTGATCAGACAAGACATAGAAACAAGTTGATCAAAAAAGTGGTTAATTTCATGCTGAATCGTGAGGGCGGTGAGCTCTACACAACGAAAACAGTGCGCGAGTGGATCTTTGAAGGTTACAAGGATAGGCTTATCGATTTTTTAAACCTTTTCAATACAACAAAAATAAAGATACCATACACTCGCTTTGGCTGGTTAGTTGACCGCAATGGTTCAGCCGAATATGACGGCCTATTCACAATACATACTGGTGTCGATGATATGGCTAATTTGGGTCGCTTGACGCATTGGAACATGAAGAATGAGACGGGCTTTTATGAGACACCATGTGGCACCGTTAATGGCACCACCGGTGATCTATTTCCACCGAATTTAAGCTCTAAGCAAGAAATAACCATCTTTGCCACAGACGCGTGCCGTTACATGAATTTGGCACCAAATGGTACTGTAGAAAAATACGGCTTAACAGCATACAATTGGGTAGGGACGACGGAGACGCTTGATTCTGGTGAAAATTATCCAAATCAGAAATGTTTTTGCGATCCAAACTTCGACGAATGCCCGAAAACCGGAGTTGTGGAGTGTAAAAAATGCCGGAACAATGCACCAATTTATGCCTCTTTTCCACACTTTCATTTGGCTGATCGTAGTTATCTAGACGCAGTATCAGGATTAGAACCGGATTCTAATAAGCATAGTTTCAACTTGGCAATAGAACCAATCACTGGCGTACCTCTCCAAGTAAATGGACGTTTGCAAATCAATATGATGATCGAACCTGATAATGACTTCGAGTAAGTTTGTGGAATATATGAGTTTCTTAAATGTATATGTATATAAATGTATGTGTATTTAGCATTTATCGTGGCGTACCAAAATTCCTGATGCCGATGTTTTGGTTCAATCAAATAGCTGTATTAGATGAGAGATTAGCTAGTAGAACGAAGGTAAGAATCTGCACTAAGCGCGTACTTGTAGTATAAAGTTGATATATTTGCCATTTCAGCTTGTAATCAATTTGGGAGATTATGGGTTCTATACCGGAATTGTTTTATTAACAATTGGAGCAATCTTCTTTATTGTTGCTATAGTTTTGACAATGACAAAGCGATGGAAGCGCATACCTAATGATGATGAGGACATGCTTACGAATTAGGCATTATTATCGATTATTAAAAGTATAAACTAAACAAAAAATTTTATAGTATCTTCTATTGTACAAAGTCACGTTAACAGTAGCCAAAGTGCCAGCAGTTATTCCGGCTGCGAAAACAAGTCTGTGAATATATGCATGCTATACTTATAACAATTTACTTTGCAATTATATTAAATTATGTATTGTAAAACGCTGAGTTGTGCTTATATATATTTTTTTAATATGCAATAAATATTATTTAATGTTACAAATCTTTTATATGAAACGGAACAAATGCATGCTGCAATTTACACAATCTCACTTCTACTTGTATATATGTTCTAACTAACGCGTACATCTGGCTCAGAGTTTGATTTATATAACTGTTGTTGAAAGTCTTGCGCTGTTTTAATGAAACTTGATACTTGGTGATTTAGTAGGTTGGTGTTGTAAATCGGTATTGAACCATTATCATAAAGTGACATAACTCGATCCCAAATCAAACGACACGGCTTTTTTCACATTTCGACCTTATTCAAGTAGTAAAAGTAATGTATTTCGCATATGTATGTATATATTTCATTAATTTTTATTTGAAATTTATATTTATAATAAACTTTACGCTAAACAGTGGGAATGTTTTTAGAACTAATTTAGTATGCCTTTTTAACATTGATTGATTTGGACTTTCGTATACGGTGATAAGTTAAAAGCCAAATAATTCTTTACAATTCTCTCTTAACAAACATATGTATGTATATACATCTCAGTACAATCGTAAGTGTTTGCATGTAAATAATGTTATTAATACGATAACAGTTTCATAGTTTTTAGTATTATTTAAATTGCTATCGAATATATTCATTTAATTTATGAAATTTTTAGATTTTTTAAAAATAAAAATAAACAAACACAAAAGTTGAAGGAAATACCATATATTTAAGGAAAATAACAATTGGGGACTCTTGCACTGTCATTTTTTTTGTGACATCCAATAGTTTTGAGAATAATTGTTAGAGTGACAGTTATGCTTTTGTGCACAGACCAGTTTGATATAACAAATCGTCCCGAATTGTGTATTGACCAATTGTACAATATATATGTATGTATGTAGTTTATATTTTTGCATTATTTGTGATGGTAATTATGGCAAAAATATCACCTTTTGTTTTTCATTCACCTTATCACATTTAACTATAGACTTTTAAACGAGAAAAGCCTACGTAAATTTTTGTGACCGAAATACAGAAAGATCAAATTTCACCTTTTACCTTTCCACAAAATACCATCAACATACAGTATGTACATAAGTACATTTTGTTGAATGCAATAATAATAATAATATTTAGACATACTTATTTATAAATATACCTACTGAAATGGTATCTCTTTACTTATGTATGTATGTAAGCGTGAGTACCTACTACATAACGTACGGTGGGGCAAGCCTAGGCAATATTTACTTAAATGCATTTTGCATATTTAAAATCTCCAATATGTATTTACATACGTATGTACATAAATACGGTAAACTACAATAAAAGTATTTACTCACTTACACCCTAAGCGCTAAGAAACTAAAAGAGGTTAGATTGCATTACTATTGACTTATGGCTTCTCATCGATAACCATTCGACGATCAACAGTCGGGCATTCGATCAAATTGATTCGTTTTGTTCGTTCCGTGTTATTCGTACTTTGCTTAAGCCTAAACTTCACGCACCGTTGAACTTACATATTTATATACTGTTATAGTGTAGTCGTTGCTCTCCTTTAGAAGAAAGAAGAAGAAAAAAGTAAAGAATCTCTACTCTTTCGATTCCTTCGAAGCTTTAATGTATAAAACATTAAAATGATAAAAAAAAAAATTAAAAATAAATTATAAAAAATAAAAATCGATCACAGTTGTTTGGGCGGATTTCGTATAATAGTATGCGAGTGCATAATATCTTGTCTAATACAGATATTTGTAAAATATATGTAAATATGCACTTTGTAGTGGTTTAGTCACTTCTGTTCATTGCAATTTTATGAAAAGTGGGAAAGACAGGAATATAACAAAACAAAACATTAAAATAAAACAGAAGTAATAAATAAATACAAATAAAAGCTCATGTATGACATAAGTTTCCATTTAATGTGTTATAGCGAAAATAAATATTTTCGTATCTTCATACCCAATTTCTACTTGTATTGTATTGTGAGTATTTGTGTACTATTTGTCTTTTGTTTGCTTATTTGTTTTTTAATGAATTTCTAAAAGTGACTAGATTAAAGTGTTTTTCTTTTCATTTTATAATTGAAATGAAATGAGGTCAGTTTTTTCCAAGATATTACTCATATCTTTCGGATTTCCGGCAAATGTTATTACGTGCTTTTATATTACATAATGTACATAAATACATATTTACATGTATGTAAGTAGGCACATATGTGTATGCCACATGAAAGACTGCAGCGTCTGATTTCTTCGAGCGCAACCTTCATATGGTCTGAAATCAGACATTTGGGTTCTCAAAAAAAAGGTTTTTTGGGCAAATACCCGATTAAAATCCGACAACGAATATTGGTGTAAATTTGTTGTCCCGGAGAGAATATATCAGCACACCAGTATGAATGGTTTCGTGACCTTTGCTATAAGTACGCGTTTGTAGTGAAAACCCTCGCCTGCAAACCTTCCCCCTAGACACTGTGACTTTGCGTAGAGAAACTTTCCATGAGGATTATTTACTTCGTTATTATATATATAGTCGACGTTTGGCGTGATTTTCATTTAGGAATAGAAAGTAACACCTGAACAAAAGAAATCGCAAAAGATCTTACGCCTCCTGTACTTATGCATACCTCTTTTGTTTCAGCTTTACGATGGACTGGGTGCACCAAGTGACAAATTGCATTTACATATATTAGCCTAGTGCCACTCGCCGGTGTGTTAGAAAGAGCCATCAGTAAACGTTTACTCTTCCATACTTAACTACCCTACTTTTTCTTGCAAAGTTTCGCTTTTCCATTCGGAGTCTTATTTCCAATCTGTTTAATAGTTGTTGGGAACTGCAGTCACTACAGATTTCAAATTTGAGAATTGTAGCTTTTGTGGTGCTTCATAATTGCTGGATCCATGACATAGTTATTTGCCTCTGCCATTTGCATGGGTAGAGGTGGAAGTTTGTCATTGGGATGGCGATGGCTTCCCACTGACTTTCGACCTTTTCCGGAGACCAGTAGCAGTGTCGATGAAGTTGAGGTTGTGCTTTTCGTGCTAGTGTTTGTAGAAAGTGTTGTGCTTAAAGTTGGCATTGTTGTGCTTGTTGATGTTCCGGCCGAGACCACAGCTGATGGCGAAGCTGAGATCGTATTTGCCGCCTCATTTGCAACGAAAGCGTCAGTACTAGTTGTCAAGTTCTTATGAACCGATTTGCCGTTGTTGAATTGATTTGCAGACACCGTTGAGGCTCTGCCACTGCTTGTGGACGCTGCATTGGTGTTTACATTCCGCATTGCTGCAGTTGTAGATGTGCGATTCGTTTTCGAAGCGGCAAATACTTTAGTCTGTTTTAGTAGTGACTGATCATTGCAGAGCGCAGAGATAAGTGGTAAATCTAAGTGTTTGCTTTTTTCGCGCAATACAGCAATATCGAGTGGATTTGCAGAGGCGGTGTTTCCGTGACCGACACTAACATTGTCGCCGTTGGTTTCTTTCGACTTGATGTTTCCAGCAGATGTGATAGCCTGTCGATTGGCAGCTGCTGCACTAGCTTGAAGATGTGCTAAGATACTGCCGCCGTTATACGATATGGGGTTCGGTTTTGGCCGTTCGCCTGCCCATTGCGCACCGCTGGAAGTGCGGGTCATATTATTGACACTCTGATTGGTATTCAATGTGGGTGGTTTCCTTGGCGGCAATTGATTGCGAATCGCCGATGAACGTTTGGTCGACACAGTATTGGTTGCGGTTGGTTTTGAGGGAACTATATCAGGAATACGTATTAAAAATATATGAAACTGCACTTTTAGTGTTAGTAATTGTAATTAATGATACTCACTTGGTGGCGGTTTTTCAGATGGTGTGGGCATTGGTGGTTTCTTCAAGCGTCTATTTACATATGGTGGTGGTGGGGGAGGAGGCATACGTTTCATCTTTGGAAGAGAGTCAATTGAATTTAAAATATTGTCATCTGAACGTGAACGCACAAATAAATTTGTTGCTCCCATACTGGGTACTGTCAATGCGGCAGGATGCAGTGGAGGCGGTGGTGGTGGCTCATACGACGAGCATAAGCTGGCCATGGAGGGGCTGTAAAGTGGCGAATATGTGCTTGGTAGTTGCACATATGTGTCTGATAAATTCTGTGTCGACGCGTAACGGGAATGTGTGGATAATGCTAATGGCAAGTAAGGTGTGCTTCGGTAGATCGCGTGTCCCTTACATGTCTCCCACGATCCAACATGCGCCCTGCCTGTGTGATAAGCTAAGTATTGATGGTGATGCGGGAGTGGTTGAGGTGGCGCTTGTGCCATGGCCGCATATATTGAGCTTTGTTTAGCATCTAAATATTCTTGCTGACTCACTGCAGGATCTTGAATCGGGTATATAACATAGTCAACGTCGCTGTACAGCTGTTGTTGGTACAGCTCGAGTTGTTTGCGTGCAAGCTGATTACCATAAACTCCTGGTTGCGATGGTGGAGGTGGTGGCGGCGGTTGACGTGGTATATTGGGTGGTGGTGGTGGTAAAAACTGTCGATGCTTGATCACTGGTAATATAACACACGTTCGTGGTGTCTGTTTAATTTCTGGATAAGGTGGTGGTGGTGGAGGTGGTTGCTGATGCAAAGATGACATGCTGCTGTGTCCGCCATGCAATCTATAAGGAACAATTGGTATGCCAATTGTGCTTGGTATGACGCCTGCTCCGGTGGTAGCAACAGCAGCTGCCGCAGCATGTGCCATTGCTGCTGCAGATATGGATGATTGTCTTGTCACTGAAGCCGGGGGATTGTTGCCGTTTAGCGAAATCTGCGACGCACTGATGTAATGAGAGTTGTGTACAGAATGCTGTGAAAGATGACTCGACATGTGTTGGCTGGAAATGGAACCTGTTGTGGACGCAGACGATGAGCAATGCGTCGGAGCAGCATAACTGGGTTTCTGATTATCACTAATTACACTGGTATGTGCTTTAAGAATGTTTATTTGTGGTCGAGTGGTAATGAAACGAGCAGTAATTTCTTCCGTTTTTAAAGAGCTCATAGATCCTGCAACCGAAGATAAAACACTGCTGGAATGATTGAGAGAAGAGCTGCTGGATTCTACTGATACCAGTGACATGGGACGCGGCTTCTGCGATGTAGGATACGGTGGAGGGTCACGACGTCGAACGGCTGATGCCGTTGGAATGGGTGCACGTGGAATTGATGTGCCCACTGGATTTGTGTTTACCTCTTTGGGAATGTTTGGCGATGGCACTTTGGAAAAAGTTGTAGCAACTGTAATGCTTTTGATATTATTGATAGGCTTTTGTGTTAAGGCAGAACATACTGGAGGCCCACAGAGACCAGTTTTTTCATGTCGTGCATGATATGGCGGTGGAGAACGCATTGGTAAATTGCCAAGGCCCGCTAAATTCGTTGTATGCTTCATGTTATTGCTGTCGATACGTTGTGGGGGTGCTGGCGGATCGGTCGGTATTAAATCATTAATTAAATCTTCAACATGATCATCATCGGTTGGTGCAGTATCTTGATGTCCCTGAATATATGATTCCCCTTTGATGGGCAACGGCAAGGTAACATAATCGCAGTCCGAATCTAGTGTGCTTGACACCGTCTTACGATTGGGATATGTGCCGCGGCCAACTATTAAGTCGGTTAATTCCTCTGCAGAAAGAAGGTTATGCTTATTGTCGGTCGGGTCGCTGCCATCACCTCGGAAGGAGCCACTTGTGCTTACATTTGAGTCTGAGCGTAAACGGAAATCTTCATTCTTAATGCGTTTACCGTGATAATTTACACCATCAACTGAGTCCAGATTGGGATGACTTTCATGCAAATTATTAACATTCGCCTCCACTTTGTTGGGCTGAAAAATACTTATTCCATAATGCGAGCTTTTCTCAGACTCGGCCATCTCCGACGATTGTCCCGTCATTTCGCTACTATGCATTGTGTATACACCAGAAGTTTCAGTGGGTGGAGCACCGTGGGCCAATGTATATACACCAGAAACGCTCTCGTTTTCATCGCGACTGGAAGATGCAAAATCGTGTTCAATACACGTTGATTCCGCTTCACTGAGGATGGAATTTTGAGCGGTGTGACTAAATCCCAATTCAAGGCTACTGGATGTAGAATTTCGACGCTGCATTGGGGTTGAATTTATTATGGAACTCACCGCCAACGATGTTAACGTATTATTTGTAGAGTCTGAGTTGGGTAAAACCACGACAGTACTACAGGTCGATGAGCACTGGGAACCAATATTGTGTTGTGAACTGGGCGAGTCAGTTGCCGTCGAAGAGTCCGCTGCTCGTTGCGATGCCTGATTAGAACTGCTACTAGAAGAGTTTCCCTCTGAATTATGACTTCGCTCTGGTGATTCATCACCGGAGTTTGCGGAATTCGAGTGTTGCTTTTTACGTTCCTGACGTACAGATAGCGCCGCTAATTGCTCCTCCAAATCTTTTAATGAGACCTGACCCACGGATGAAGTCTGTCTACTGATGCTAGGATGATCTAGTAAATGCGCCAACGCTAGACTCTCTGTGGATGGTGCTGCAATTGGTACGGGTGGTGTATTTATCATTATTTCAACTTCATCTTCAGAATGAACGCGGTCACTCACTATGCCCGAAGTGGTGTTAGAGCTAGTGCTCGAAATTACGGATATGCGCTGATCACTTTTATTTTTGTATGGCAAATGTAAACTGCGCGAATATGTGTAGCAAGCATGAAGACAATCACTCTCTTCTTCTTCACGCTTAATGACTTCTTTTAGACGAGCAGCAATCTTCATGCTGAATTGATGGGTTTCACGGCACAATGTTAATAGCATTTTATTTTTCTCATCCGAGGTAGCATAGAGCAGAATTTTGCAATCTCCAGAGCGAATTTCAAACTTTTTCCGCTCGAAGGATAGCTTAGTAATGCTAGGCCATAAGAATGTGGTTTGTTGCTGAGGATTTTCGAAAGAACTGAAAACTTTTATGCCTTTTGAATAGACCACAAACCACGAACTGCCCAAACCATTTTCGTTTTTCGTGGAACGCATCCTGAAAATGTGCGCATTGACGCACTCATGCACAAGACTGGCTTGCTGAATGTAATGAAGCTCTGCGTCGGCCGTTGACATGCCACGATACTCACGATGGCAGGCCTGTAAAGCACTCATTGCCCAAGTTGTGCGTAGCTCAGCAGGCAGATAATCACTGAAGTTAAAATATTCTTTTGTAGAGATGTTTGTCGACGTATGCGCCAGCGCCGAAAGAGAGGTGCGCGAAGAAGTCGACGTTGTTGGTGGAGTGCTGGAAGAACATTCCCGATTTATAGAAGACATCGACGAAGATGCCGAAAACGAGGCTGCCATAGCTCCAAGACTACGCTTTAAGCTACCACTGATAGGGAAGACTGACGTGGACGATTTTGGTGCTATTGGTTCTTGTGAGTCAGTATTTGCTAATGAAGTTGTGACATTTTTTGTGCTTAGAAAATTGGATAGCCGAAGAACACGATCATTATCACTGCCTGGACGTTTGTTGATTTTCGGCAATGTTGTTATAATTCCAGTTGCCGATTCAGTTTTCGCAGACGCTGTCGTTTCCGTTGTTGTGATTGCCGTTATATCGGTAGTTTTTCCTGTTAAGTTTGAGACTTCACTTGTATTGACTGTGGAATTTGTAGCGTGGGGAGAAAGCTGGCTTAGGTGGTTACACTCCATCGGTTCACCATAGTTGCTTTCTCTCGATAATAAGGATTTTAATGTTGTGGCTCCACTCATTTGTGTTGAATTTGGTGCATCACCTAAATCAGCTTGTAATGCTAATCCGGCGAGCAATATCATTGACTGTTCTGAATATTCTTTAGGCGTTTCCCGTTGTAGAGCATTGTGTTTTAATTGCAGGTAGTAATTATGGCGCGATATCTCATCTTTCAATATAAACGGGCTCTCGATATAAAATTGAACACGAAAGTGTAATTCCAGGAGAGGTCGCCCATTTGCGTCGAGGCCCTATAAATATACAATTATAAATTATATTTAAATAAAGTAACCCGATGAGCATGTCATCAACTTACGTGTGTGTGTGACGAGCGCCAACTTTTCGGGCCGTATTTGGAGAGTTTGCTCTCCGGATCCGCAAACATGTATTCGCCATCTGTAATTGGAATGAATATCAAGTATTAGGCATACAAAAGATTTTCATACTCGATTGTAATAATTTTTTCTTATTTTAATTTTTATGTAAAAGATTATTTTCCCACAATCAACCTTTCATTTTTAAACTTTGAGATGGACAGAGCGAAATGATGGGAGCTCGGATATTTCAGGGGGAACTCTGTTAGTTAGGCCGATGTTCAGAGAATGTGCGAATCCAATAGATTGGAGTTCAGAGACAAGCTATAATTTCGATTTTTTTACTTTTGAACGTTTCATTTTCGCAATTGGGCCCCAAATCTAGCACCATCCGTGCGCTGTTCTACTTGAACTAAGCACACACTCTGCTACAGCATAGTGAAACTGGCGTATGGTTATCTGGCATGCCGGAAAGCAGCTGCATCGTGCAATCGTCCATCGTCCGGCGTATGTTTGTGAGTATGAATTGCCCATTTCAGCATTCCTGTCTGAGAGCATGCACTACAGACATACATACATACATGCTGTACATGGTATCTACGCGAGTCGAAGTGTATATATATATATTGTACATATGTATCGATGCACACGTCGGTTTATTTTATATTTATTTTACTGATTCCGCGGGTTTGGCTGGAATTTGAATTTCTTTTCGAGGCATTTACTTACACCCCTTAGCGTTTATTGCGTCCTTTTGTACACACATATGTACGTATGTATACCTGTGCCTCTGTACGTGCGCCTTCCTTAGTTTTTTATCAACGAAAATAGTTGTTTGGTATGAAATGCCATATTTTTTTACTTTGTTTTGTTACTATTTCTTACATTGGGCACTTCGTGTTTTATATATATACATACATACATATTTCAATTTTATTTTATTTTATTTGTTTCATACTTTTTTTTTTATAAATTATTATCAAATCTTCTTTGTATGTATGGATGGAGTCGCGTCTGCTGCTTCGTGTTGTTGTTTGTGCTTCCATCATTCTTGTTGTTTTCGCAATCGCCACATACCAACAACAGCATTTTCTCTTCCATTTATTGTTAATGGTGCATAATCATTATCGCAGGTAGCGGCAGTCAAGATAGTGGTGACTAAAGAAGATTCGACAATTGCAATAACAACAGCAACAACGTAATATTTTAGATCCCTGTTGAGGTCGTTATTGGTTGTGTTGATTTCGTTTTGTTTTCGTTCGATTTTTATTTTTTTCTTGATTTTCATTCGTCAATTTTTGTTTTGTTTTTGTAGCTGTTGATCGCGTGCAACCGATAAACATCGGAAATTAAAATTCCTCTCTTATAGCTTCAACTTGAGATATTTGGTATACCTCTTTCAGATGTTGGCAAAGGCAACCTTCTGCTGCTGCTTTTGATATTTACATATAAAATATTATATTTTAGGGCTTTTTCTTGTGTTGCGTTATCTCCTCGCAGATGTATATGCTATATGTATGGATTAGTAGATACGTTTGTATTCTACATAAAATGTTGTACAATAATTCAATAACTTATTATGCGCAAGAGGATTGGAGATATTTCTAAGCAAGTGATGTTATGACTTCAATAAAATTAATTGATTTTGGATCGTTCTAAAAGGTGCTACGAAGAGTAATAATTTATGATAATTTGATTGGCCTTAGGTCTGGAATGTCTCAAATTTGTATTAAAAAAAAATATGCTTTCTTCTTGACATATTTCCTAAAGACTCTTTTAACCTTAAAAAACGGTTCAGATATCATTATCACAGAACCACCACCACAATCCGATTGCCTTCATTCTTCTAAGCTGCAGTTTTTGAATTAAAAAAAGTTCCGATATGTTCGATGCCGCACCGAGTCACTGCCTTTTGAAGAGATTTAACACAAGTGCTGCTTACTCATGGGTCGTGGTCAGTGGGTAAGGGGCCGAGGCTACCCATGCCGATACCATATCAACGAGTGCAGCGTCCGATAAGGTATGAAAAATAAAACTAATAAACATAAACCAGTCTTTTGAAAAGGTGATTACAACGCACCAACGTCGCCTAGCCCAGCAGGCAAGTAGCTAAACTATGCAACACCATAGCAGCCGGCAAGCACCGCAGATTGAGCGACCATTCGATGCTTGCTGTTGTTGTAGCTTGGAGCAATGTATTTGGTTGGTGTTTACGATGCAGCAATGTTACTTGGACAAGTGCAGTGGTGGAGAAGGGCCGCAGACACAGCTCGATGTTTTTTTTACCTCATTAATTCTAGAGATCCATCCTTTGGTATGTGATGACATACAAACCTTCTATATATAAATGTATATGCGTGTGTATGTTTTCATCTTAACCCGTATGCATACGCTTATGCCTGTTGCTAGTGTGCCTGGTCAAGGCAACAAAAACAGTCACTGATTCAAAAAGCTCCACAAAAATGCTTCATAAAAAGCAGAAACACATAAAAATGCTAAAGACACAACAAATATTGTTCAATAATAGCAGCCAGCAAGTGAGCATGCCGATGATGAGGTATTACGAAGCAACATCCACAGCTCGGCGAGTGTGTGGAATGCAGCAACAGCCGGCGGCGGCAAGTGGAAGGCCAATGGCAGCCGGGACTAAGACAGGGGGACAAAACTGGCAATTGGCAGCGGACACAAGACGCGTGTTCAGTAATTCAGGTAGCAGTTGCGCGCATTGCCATAACACGAGAGCGCTCAGACCAGCGCATGGACGGACGTCCGCCGATGCCTGATGGTTGCCGGTCGATAGTCGTTGGTGGTGGTTGTTGAATTGTCGACGACGACGGCGGCGATGATGACGTTCTGTTGCCAACACAACCAGTAGCCGCAGAAACAGCAGCCTTGCCTACATGCTCAGAAAACGAATGAGAATGGACGCACACCTCTGAGTCGCAAGAACAAAATCGTGAAACCATAAATGCAGGCAGTTCGGCAATATGTAGAAGTAGCCGCTATTCATGTATGTACATTGAAAATAGAATGAAGACAGGAACATAAATTCAGATCCCGAAACAGCTTAGGAATGCTGACCAAACTGGCTGTAGACTGTAGGCAGTTGGTTTCCACTGTTACTGCAACGATTGCGGCGATTATAAGACGCAGAGAGTGGCGGAGAGTCAGTGAGGAAATAGGTACCACTTGAAAGAAGTTCTGTAGATGTAAATATGCACATGTACACATACAAATAGTTGTACAGCCATGGTCGGATGAGTATGCAACACACTTACGCTCATATCTGTGACGTTGTCCACCAATCCTTAGCTTGAAGTTGAATTCAAATGCTATGGTAGCGGCAGCATGCAGCTGGATGTGGTAAAAGTACGGCCATTGCACAGATACAGGAATGCACCGCATCGGTGGCAACGTGCTTCCGAAGCGCAACACTTGCAACTTGCAACATTTTTGGTTGAGCAAGAACAAATATGATAAATAAAGCATTGATTACATGCGCGTGTCATTTGTCGCACATAAATGTACATACATGTATGTGTGGAAAGTAAAAATATCCCATTAAATGTCTTTCATAGGGAGCAAATAGAAAATGATTGAGAATCTGAAAAGTATGTATATACTATGTTTATACATATATATATTTATTAGTGAACGCCTAATTGAAAATTGTTAATGTTTTTTATACTATAATTTTCACCTGAAAATAGTATTTCAATTATGTTCTCATTAAAAGATTTTTTATTTTGTAGCAATATCGTTTAGATGGGACGGTACGACGAAAGTACTGATGTTTCTATCGTAATCGTAACCCTTCATACAGAACTCAACAATTGTAAAATTTGTACCAAAATTTATCTTTTTCTCGTTAACGTGAGCGAAGTTATCAAAGTATCGGCTATTTATGGTGTCTTTTTGGTTACTTTAATAATTGAAAAATTCCAAATAATCGCCGATAGGTGATAGGTATATATGTGTATAAGTGAAACTTACCGATGAGCACCGCCAAACCGAACAATTCTGTATCGAGCATGCCTTGTGCTGCAAAGTGTAGGCATGTTTGTGTATACACTTCTCTCACCCGACTCTTTGCATCGACTAGGAAGTATAAAGTTTTGGGTTGCTGATTTCCCAAAAGTCTGCAAAGAAATATATCGATATATCTGTTAGAATGTGATTTATATTGATAGCGGTAAACTAAAAATCCAAACGGGCTGTAGATATTCATGCAAGCGATAGAAAATAATCGGTGTAAAACACCTACCTTAGGGCCAAAAAGCGTGATCCTGGTGATAGTTGTTCGGCCGATGACGCGCAAACTTCTAAAGGCGCGCTGACAGTGCAAAACGCTCGCATGCTGCATCATTACTTAAATGCAACAAGCTCTTCCGAAATATCTTTCTGTAAATAAGCAAATTCAAGATAATTAATGTCGTTACTAATGTGATCGGTTAAATAGGTGTATGTGTGCGCACTATTATACGCATATATTAATATTATATTTAAAGTATAGGAAAACGCTTAGTGAGTGTGTGGTACACATAAATTGCTTTTACAAGTTTTTGAGCCTTTCATTTTAAAGAAGTGCGGAATTTAAGGAAATTTTTAAAGAGTTCCACTCTACTCCAGCCGAAGACAGACGACTGCTATAAGCCACCGGAGGAGAGAATACGCGCCCTATCAATGACAAGTTCATAGACAAAATATAGGCATATTTTAATCAAAACCTCAACCTACCTTCCCTGACTACTACTATAACTCCTTCTTACCAATCCAGAGCCAACTCAACTTGAAACCTTTTCCCGAGTATACCGACCTTTAAAGCATACATACACCAGCCAATACATATTTACATGCTTTACATACACTCAACAGCTCCCGTTTGCTATTCTCTCCTTGTTGTCGCCCATATTCGTTGAATAATAACTTAAAATAATTAATTTATATGCACGCATATATTTTTATTATATATTTTTTGTATGCATATATGTATATATGTGTATGTGTACGTACGGCTTCTTACGTGTAACTTTCTTTGAGACCACCGCGCGAAATTGCATTTAGTAGGGTTTGTCGCTTAAGTCTTTTGTTATTGTTAAGTGAAATTTCGGTATCGCGTACATACATGTGATATCGTATTTGTAAATTTACATGTATATATGTAATTAGGTAAGTAAGTATGTAAAGCAACATATTAAGATTTTATAAAAATTACAAAAATAAAAACTAACACAAAATACTTTTTCCAAAAGTCGTCGACTCAACTTCCGCGATGCAGAGCTATACATAATGGGCGTAGTTTCCCCGACATCTGGGCAACATCCAGTTGAATATCACAAAGGGCACCTAAAGCTTATGTGAATACATGTTTTTCTAAAACTGGCGTTAAATTGAGCTTTAAAATATCGACCAAAGCCACATACATATGCATTCGTTGATTGAAGGAGTGCAATATGTGTAAATAAATAAATTGTTTAGAGCGCATTGTTTAGCCAACTTAAGGTGTGCTCTGTTTTCGTGTCACCGACCGGATGGGTTAGGCCAGCTAATAAACCGTTCAATATCAAGTGGATTTAATTACTTTCATTGACATTAAATTACATATGTAGCACACATGTGAACCCCTGAAATCCCATGTAATTGTGTTCGGCGCTCTATCATTTATTGAAATATTTAAACACTAATAATTGCTTATTTAATTACTCATCTTGGACAAATTGTTATTTGTTCGCATATCACGCACGAGTAACCCTGACCAACGAAACGGCAATTCAAAGCGTTCGATCATTTGCAACACTCAAATCAAAGTAAAATGTCATATGAAAATATAAGAATTGAATTGCATGGCTATATCTAAAATCTAATCAAAGCAACATGAAATCTATTGGTAAGAGGTGGTTGTATGGCATATGCATGTATTATTCAGGGCTTACCTCCACTCCGCCAAGGACAAGACTTATTTAACGACACCTAAATCGACTGTGTTTGACGCCAATTTCTGCTAATCGGTGCCATTTGCATTATGGAACAACTGTGGATACAAACATAAACACCTCATTAAAATCGGTTACGATTTCCTTTTTATACTTTTTACAAAGATTATTTACACGCATATGTTCGTGCACATTAATGTATTGTATTTACTACGGAGTTCAAATAAATAGCACAAATACACAGTTTATATTTTTAATAGGTTCTTAAATATAGTGCACATTTTTCGCTTGAGAATTTTTAATAAATATTTTCAATTTTGCGTGCATGTGGGTATTATTTGTTTCTCACTACACAGCTATCGGAGCTTTTTTCGATTATATAACATATGTATGTATATAAATACTGCCTTATACATACATACATATATAATATTTACTACATACGCACAAATTTAGAATTGCCGATTGAAACCACTTTAATTAAATACTTTTTAGAGCAAATCGGCGAATTGTGTGTTGATTTCACCTTTCTATGATAAACTCGATTGACACTTTTGCACATCGGTATCCCTTTATCTGTATATACATATGTATGTTTGTGTTGAGGTTTTTGTACATACTTCGATCGACGATTTGTAAGCGCTATATTGTTTTTCGGTTCGGCTCGCATTCCAATTGACTTAGTGTCTAATTGAGGCAAGTTCAGCAAAAGCGTCACGAATTATACATTCAACAAACACATATATACCCATGTATATATGGAAATATGTTTGAAGTAAATGATTGAACCAACACACATCGACGATTATCACACCAGTCGGCCGGCCAGCAGACACACAAAGACTTCAGCGATGAAAAGGCAAAGTTTGGCTTTGAAATTGTTAGATTGAAAATTGACCAGCATTGTTGTTGCTGCAAAGGGTGATGGTGCATATTGAGGATACACTTGAGGCTAATGCTAAGGTCTCTGTTGCGCAAGATTGCACTATTGCAGGGTAAGCAATATTGAGAAGGATTTAAACACACATACACACACACCAGCGCATGTTCGGTATGCGTGAATACAAACTTTGCCCCTTCTCTCGTTGCAGTAATCGGTGCTATTCGTCTTCGATAGCATTCGTTTTTTTCTTTCATTGCATGGTTGTTATTGTTGCTGCGTTGCTATCTCAATTCGCATATATTTTGTTGTTGCTCGAAAGAATGTCATGCCATTTTTTGTTGTGCTTCGATGTGCCTCTAATTCTCCATTTCGCCGCTTCGTCGACTTTTTACATGAGCACACATAAATACGCGCACACACAGAAAGAGACAGCGACACACATGCACACACACACACACACCATTTTTATCAGTCAGCACATGAAAACCGATTGTGAGAGAATCAACGCGGCGTAAACTTCAACCGCACGCACACACACACATACATATCTATACACTAAGCAACCGAATGGATCGTGGAGTGGCGCGCGATTTCTGGCGTCTTCGCCGTCGATGGGGCTTGTGAGCGCATTTGAGTGTATCTGTGTGTCTGTGCGTGTGCGCGTGTATGGGTGCGTCTGCTATGTGAATGCGTATTTAGAGAACGCAACGTGGATTTTCAACTAGATTCTATTGGATTTCTTTCCCCATTGTCACAATCATTTCTAACCAGAACACCACCGTGCAGACCAATCGCAAAGCTTTTATTTGTATGCTCGTGTGCACATATGTAAGCATATTAAATGGTATTTGCATTATATCTATTTGTTGTTGTTTGTATACGATTGTTGTAAAATAACAGCACATTCACCGCACTCAATCGAAATAATCGCCGATCATGCAATAAATACATTGTACACCACAATTCATGGGATCGTTCAAAATCGTTGAATGCGATCAACGAAATTTCCAAGTTGCCTTTTCACTTATTATGATTATCATTTTTATTTCTATTATTATTGCTGTTGTTGTTGTTCAGTTATTTCAGTTATTGTATTGGTCACAAGTATTTCAGAGTATTAATATGGCACATTCTTGACTGATTAGTAAGCGAACTTTGCACAACCACCTCATAAATACATACAAGCACACGCTCATACATACGTACATGCATGTAACTATGAGTATAAGTAATTAGTATCCAAATTATCTAAGAAACGATCGCAATACACTTTCAAGTCGACTGCTGCGTTTCGTCTCGCATGCAAACGCTGTGAGATCACTTATCACTAATTTAAACATTCCACAATTTCCTGAAATTATTCGCATATTTATCCTCAGTTATACTTATTTACATGCGTATGAACGAACATATTTGTGTAATTTTGACATGAAAACATACTTTCTTTCGACACGGGTATTTTAGCTCACTAGTTTGGCTAAATCAGCATGAAGAAACTGTCAAGTTATTACGCTTTGTCGTATCTTCTCCGCTTGCCCAACTTTAATTCATTTATTTCGCTAACTTTTTCCACTCAATCGCTTAAATATCTTTGTAACCACTGATAATTTCACGTATTCCTATATATCTTGTGGAACATTTCTGGTGAGTTTCTTTCCTTCTCTATACTTTATTTGACTTTTTTGTTTCAGATTTTTTATATATTTACAGAAAAGTAATTTTTTAGCTCAAACGTATCGAAATCTTGACCGCTTCGCTCAGCACCATAAACCGAACTGAACCAAACGCCCCGCGAAACCACAATTTTTCTCCGTCTCCGCCATACGAAGATTCCTGACCCTCTCTGCTGAGCAATCGAGCATTTAGCTCGTATACCTGTTTTTGCCAGCTACACTTTTGCTTCACTGTGTGCCTGCGTGTGTGCATTTGTGAGACGTATCGGCGAGTCGAGCCGAGCCGTGCGCCAGTGGTGGTGCGAATATTTCTTGAGATACCTGCTGTTGCTGCTCCCAAATACCAGCTACCAGCGTCGAGATATTCGTTGCTCGATGTTGCTTTATTGAAAACGTGATTTTAGATTGGAATGCGCTATTTTGTTGATAATTTCATACAAACACACATGT